AAGAGATATATTTCCTTGGGCGAAACACCCTTCAGCTTATTTTATGATGAATTTGGGCAAGATATTTCTGAAAAATTTAGTTCGAAAGGGAAGATGGGTAGCATTGGCCAACTTGCATATTTGTACTATAACATTAAACCTATAACGATACTTTTAGTCTTCATTTTTAAATAGCTTTCACACCACACTCGAATTTCCGAAAACCCAGCCTCATCTCATCCCACATAAAAAATTTGACCCACAAAAAAATTTCAAATTTCAGATTTCGCACGGCCGTTGATAAATGAGTCAGTCATACATGGTGAGATAAAAAAACTGCAACAAAGTCAAACGCCATAACTTTTTTTTTAATTTTATTGTATGAAAGCAAAAAATGTCATCAAATTTTAGAATAAGTTTAGATTTGTTCGAATTGGTCACCTCTGGCACGAATTATGGCCTTCAAATGGCCAATGAAACCGTCACACGCTGTCCGAATGTTACTCTGCAGTATTTTGTCCCATTCCCGGCAAAGCGCTTGCTTGAGGTGATCGACACTTTGGTATTTTTAGTGCCAACCTTGCATTTCAAAATACTCCAGGCACAATAGTCCAATTGGTATCTCATGTTTTTGGTGGCCATTGAGCGCTGAAAATAAAGCGAGGAACTTCATTTTGTAACCATTCTTGGGTGGCACGTGTTGCGTTCGATGGTGCTGATTCCTCTTGGAATGTCCAAGGTCTGCGGCCAAAATGTTTGCGTGCCCAAGGCTTCAATACACCCTCCAGAACATTTTCGCTATAATATTCGGCATTTATGGCGGCCCACACCATCACCATGGCCGGCACTTGAGTTCTGGTGGCCAACAGAAGGTGCATATTTTCAGCTGACCTCTTTGGCAAATAAACATATTGTTTGTTTACAAACTGCTAGACAACGAATGTTTTCTCATCGGAAAAAAACAAATTCGGCAGTTCAGCACTTTCGGCCAAGCGAAGCAACTCATTAGCTCTTTTGTTGAGTCTATGTTTTTCTGTTGCGGTTTAAGTTCTTACACTTTTTGCAATTTCAATGACTTCACCCTGAGCTCATTTTTCAATATTTGCTGAATGGAATATTGCCTAGCCATTTTTTCAGTCACTGCGACGCGGGTTTCGATCAAGTCGCTTCTTTACTTTTCGAACTATTTTTGCAGATGTTGCTTTTTTCTTCCGTCCACTTCCATGACGCCGAGCTACGCTACCAGTATCATGGTAACGAGCGATGGTACGAGACACAAAAGATCTATTCACATTTAAATGCTGGAGCACTCTAACGATAGCCACTTGTGGTTTTCCAGCCAAATATGAAGAAATCACACTATCACGGTTGAATTCCATCACGAATAGTTTTTTTTAAACAATATAATTAGTCACTGTCACTGTTGCAGTTTTTTACCTCACCCAGTATTTTAGTAATTTTTTAACCTTTAAACAATTTCATCGGCACCAAAAATAATTCTGCAAAAATAATAAGATGCCTGTTTCACCTTTTCGTATATCAATATAGGGATTTAAGGTAATTCTATCCCATTTTTTATTTCCGTTCATTGAATGTAAATGGTAATACATTCCGTACTTTTTGGACTTTCGAGTTTTTAAAATTCCACCTTAGCACCAAATGCTATGCCCATAATATAACATTTGTTACTTTTCGCATCATTAAATACTATCTTCCAAAAAACCTATCTTTCTTTTTGAAAATTAAAAATATAACATTTTTTTTAAATTATCCACTAAGGACCCACGGATTCTATAAATTGAAGTGATTTTGGAACTTAAAAATTTTTCAAAAAAAATCGCAAACTACCACTTTAATGAAAACCATTATATGGGGACTATACGAAGACGTGGACCTGCATACGAAATTTTTTGTCATATACTGTAGTACCTATTACGAACTTTAAATACAAAATTTGTTACAATTCCAATGAATAATGTCGCAAAAATCATGAAAATACCGAGTATCGGGAGGTACCGATGTATGGGGGCTATACGAAGACGTGGACCTGCATATGAAATTTTTCGCCAGAGGTTGTAGTACCCATTACAAACTTTAAATATGAAATTTGAAATAATTCCGGTAAGTAATGGCACAAAATCATAAAAATACCGAATATCGGAACGTACCGTTATATGGGGGCTATACGAAATGGTGGACCGATGTGGCCCATTTACGAACTTAAACTACCTACTGGTAAACTATGCATGTATGCAAAATTTTAGCCTTCTACCTCAATTCGTTCGATAGCGTGATTACCACAGTCAGACGGACGGATAGACGGACATCGCGACGATCAAACTAATTTAATTATAAAAATGCTCTATCATGAGAGAATTAATTTTTCGTCCCACTGTGACACGCCACCAAAGTTAAAATACACATTCCAACCGATTATGATATGTCAATTTAACAATAAAAATAGTTTTTGCATGCCGCAAAGCTCCTCCCATGGACAAGTGAATTTACACACATCAAACAGCAACTAAAACACCGGTATTTACCAATTCTATGAAATGCGTGTTGCATGTTGCTGCCGGTATTTGGCATTTATTACTACAACTAACCATAACTTTAAAGGATAACAACAATCCTAAATACAGTACTTACCCTCAGAGCTCTTTACACGCTGGAGTACGACGCTCTGTTGCGTGCGTGCGTGTCTATTGACGCGTCAAGTGTAGCATGCCTAACTGACTAATGATGATGACGGTGGTGATAACGTCGGGTGGCAGACTTATGTTGTGTGCTTAGGGTTTCTGTTAGGTGTTATTATTGTTGTTGTTGTTTTTGAACTCTGTAAAATTTAAATAAAATAAATCTTCAGCGAAACAACAACATTGGCAGAGTAATTTGCTTTTAATGCGTGTTTTCCTCCTATTGTCCCGCCACCATTTGATATATGCATGTTTTCGGGGGCCTATTCTATTTACATAGAATTTATACATGCAATTTTATGCAAAATTATATAGAATTTGCATGTTTCTCTCTCTCTCTATGTTTGTTGTGCGGTCGTTGTTTGTGCATTGCTACTGTATGAATGAGAGGACAAGCAAAATGTTGGAAGTACATGTTCAAATATTTGTCAAAAAGCATTATTTTTCAGTTTTTATATTTGAAGTAGAATGCGAGGTTGTGAGGTGTTTTATAAAACTTTTAAATGGTAGGGTGTAAATATGATGTGTTTAATGAAAATTTTGAATTATTCACCCTTCCTCATATTTTGCACCCTTAGTCATGATTGTGCTTGAATGGTAGAGTCTAAATTACTGGACTGAATACATCACCAAAACCGATGACGTTCTAGTACTAGAAGAAATATAGTATATGTTTTCTGTATATGTATTCTGGATTAGTATAAAATTCTAAGACGATCTGGTCTGTCTGTCCGTTTATTTATTGTACTCACGCTATCTTTCGAACGAATTGAGATAGAAGACTAAAAATTTGCATACATGCATCGTTTGCCAGTAGGCAGGTTCGCCATGTCGGTCCACGTTTTCGTATAGCCCCATATAACGGTACCTCCCGATATTCGGTATTTTCATAATTTTAGCGACGTTATTTACCGGAATTATTTCAAATTTCGTTGTTGAAGTTTGTAATGGTTACTACAGCTCATGACAAAAATGTTTGTATGAAGGTCCACGCCCCCATATAACGGTACATCCCGATAATCGGTATTTTGATGATTTCAGCAACATTATTTACGTAAATCGTTTCGAATTTCGTATTTGTAGATCTTCATGGGTACTACAACCGTATGCAGATCCACGTCTTCGTATAGCCCCCATCTAACGATACCTCCCAGTAGTCGGTATTTTGATGATTTCAGCAATAACGGTACCTCTCGATATTCGATATTTTAAGTGGTAGTTTTCGGATTTTTTTTTTAAATTTTTAAGTTCCCTCCAAATGGTGGAGGGTATTAATAGTTCGGCATGCCGAACTTGCTACTTTTTTTTCTTTTTTTTCTTTTAATGCACGATTACAGCTTGAAAAAAAAAAAAACAAAAAATAAATATCTATGATTTTAGACAGTCCTTTGAAAATATTTAATTTAGTAATTAAAACAAACCTCTCGATATACGATATTTTAAGTGGTAGTTTTCGGATTTTTTTTTTTTAAATTTTTAAGTTCCCTCCAAATGGTGGAGGGTATTAAAAGTTCGGCATGCCGAACTTTGCTACTTTTTTAATTGTTTTTCTTTTAATGCACGGTTATAGCTTCAAAAAAGTTTCCAGTAGTCATTGACAAAATATTTCTAAAAAATCCTCGAAAAAAAAGAAAAAAACAAAAAATAAATATCTACGATTTTAGACAGTCCTTTGAAAATATTTAATTTAGCAATTAAAACAAATTATTTTTATAATTCCACGAATAGCTAAAGTCCTTAAAAAATATAAAAAACGATTGCAAGGATTTATATTCTTTAAGGAAATTAAAACAAAAATCCATGTTATTTAAATTCCCTTAGGAATATTATTTACAATCCCGAATGCAGTTCCTTAAACCATATGTTTCAAATCCCTACCTTTATTGTTCGTTGTAAAACCCATTTCATACTAGTCAGAGTCCTTAAAAATATTTAAAATATATTAAGTGCCTGGATTTTTGCTCTCTTAAATCTCTCGAATACCTTGAACAATATATTTCTCAAAGCCATTATGAATATGTTTTAAAAAGTCCTCAAAAGGACAAAAATATTCTTAAGAATCCATCACTACATCTCTGATGGACATATAAAAGAATATATTTTCTGAAAATCCTCTGATAGTCTTTTAAATTTTTTATAGGGAAATGTATAGCCTTTTATTTTAAAATATTTAATTGTATAGCTTCAATAGACGCTAAAATCTTTACAGCAAATTTAGATTTTAGACGACTATTTAAAATACCACATATTTTCTCTTTAAAGATTATTTTCTTCTAAGTTGACTTGTTTTTCAAAAACCTTTTCCCTTCCTTATTTTCATTTCAGATGTCAAGCGCCGCAGACTAGCCGCCAATTCAGATTCCGCATCAATGAGTGACAGTAACAGCTGTTTCGACGATATGCCACCTGCCACTATCGATTCAGATTCAATGTTTGCCTCAACATCGTCGGCAGCGGCAACAAGGCATCATTGCACTAGTCAAAATTACAAAATGATGCCGCCTTCATGCACCATGGAACATCATCATCACCATCCACATAATCATCATCAGCATCATCAGTGTGGGGGTGGACATCAACAGCAGGTGCAATCTCAACAGCATTTGCATCATCGTCATCATCATCATCATACGCCACCGCAGCAACAGCAACAGCATCCTCACCATCAACATCAGCAGCGACCACAACCTGTGATAACAAACTGTTACAACAACAACAACATGATGGCAATGGAAAATTCTAGCAGGCCTTGGTGCAAAGATAATGGAATAATGTCAGCGGGTGCACATCACCAACACGAAACTGACAACGGAACTGTTCCATGGTCACAGCAAAACAATAAAACCATGCCCGAGGGAAATATATGTCCACATCGTCAACATCACCATCATCAGCAACAGGACCAACGTCATCATCATCATCAGCAGCCCCAACATCACCATTGTTCGGAATTTAATAACAATGAAGAACAGAAACCATTCCACTTCAAGGACGATTTGAATGGCTATCTTCAACAACAAACTGAAATGGTTCACAATTCCTTGGTGGATGTCCAGCAGCAGCGTCATCATCATCATCTCCATGGTCATGGATACGATCATAGTGACGATGACGATGGGGAAGAGGATGAAGACGAGGAGGATGATGACTTGGCTAGTGGCATAAATGAAGAGGATAACGACTATGAGGAAAATGACGAAAATGATGAAGCTGAAGATAATCCCATGGATAATATGGAAGATCATGATGACAATGATGAAGAAGATAGGGATGTGGATGATGATGATCCCGAAACAGAAGACATGTTACACTTAAAAACTACTCAGCATTGTTTAGATTTTCTGCAAGGCGACTTGGGTATGGATCTTGGAGTTGGAGAAGATCATCATTCTCATGCCAATGATGATGGTAGACAGATTAAATCGGAAACCTGTACAGAAGCTGAGGAAGCAAATATTGCAGATGTTGATATGGAACCTACAAAACATGAAGAAGATCATGATAATGACGATGAAGAAGAGGAAGACGACGAAGAAGGAGATGAAGAGGGGGAAGAAGAAGACGACGATGAGGAAGAAGGGGAAAATTCAGAGGATTTAGGAGATGCTATGGCCAGCCATACGCAGCCAATGGAACAGACTGTGATTGAACCAACACCCCACCCAGTGGAGACGAGGCTTTTAAACAACCAATCGATAAATACAGGATTCTATCAAATAACAGCAGCTCGACAAGAGGATAATAAGCAAAATGAAAATCCATTGTCGAACCTACCGCGACTATCAGCCATATCCCTTAGCTATGACATCAAAACGAATCAAAATCAAACCTTGGCTACAGTTAACATTCCACAGCCACAGGAAAGTCCATTGATGCCATGTCCAACATCCAAAGCCTCAATAAAATTTGTGCCCACAGCTCAGGAGTCGCCTGTGTCATCAAGTACTCTGGGTGGTCCCAGATCTACACCAGACCTGCAACGTGCCAACAAGGAAGCCAGCAAGAAACCTGAACAGGTTGGGGCAATTTCTACCAGCAATGAAAGTCCTCGTTCGTGTACCCCCTCACCGGCCTCAAACATGGAGGTGGGGAACAATGGTTCTAAGTCCACGATTTTATCCGGAAGAGCCAGTGCATCGCCCATGCCTTCACCAAGGCCACAGAGTGCTGGAAGGCCATCTCAACAACAAACCAAAAACCAATTGCAACAAGTCAAGGTTCAAACATGTCAGAAGAGTCCCGTACGCATCGTGAGGCAAGTGAAAAATGTTAATCAAATTCAAACGTCTCAACAACAAAGAATATTCAATAACAACAACAATAATAATAATCGTGCCACCCTCACAACGATTGCCGGCAATCGGGGAATGGCAACAACCACAACCACAACTTCTGCAGCTGCAGCTGCTGGCCAACGAAATGTTGCCACCAATCCCACAGTGACAGCTATGGCCCAAAAATTACACACAACAATGCAAAAGTTTGTTAGCAGCAACAACAACACAAACACTACTGCCGCTACAACAACCACTATACCCATTAGCCAGTTGCAGTTGCAACCTTTGTTGCGAGCTGCAAACGACACTGGTGGCAACTCACAAATTATTATGACATCGACGGGTCAAATTATTGTAATGCCCTCTTCGAATAACAAGACACATTTGCAGGCTGTACCCCAGCAGCAGGCACCGCAACCAACACAACAACACCAACAACAATTGATAATTGCCAGTGGCAATGCGACAGCCACTTCGCAAACGCCAACCAATTTAATTATTCAACAAAGCGGTGGTGATGTTCTAAACAATGGCGGACAATTAACGGCCACACTGCAACAACAACCAAATGGCAGCTACATTGTTAGCCAACCGGCTGCAGCAACGGCGGCGGCCAATAATACAACCCAACTACAACCCACAACGGTCATACTAAATCCAGGACAAAATATTTTGACAGGCAATACGGCCAAAGTGTTGACAGCCACCAATAACCCGGGTGCCAACATTATTCATGCCACCGGCACCCAGTCCATACTCACAGCCGGAAATCAACTACTCACCGCTCAAACGGCAGGAAATGCCACCAATGTTTTGGGTCAGCAGACGGTGGTTTTGAATCCCTTGCCAAACGGTGGCTATGTCATACAACAGCAACAAACTGCACAGCCAGCTGCTACCCAGCCAACCCAACAATTCGCTACACTGGATAGTCAGGTTGTCTCCCAGATTGTCCAGCAGTCAGATGGGACCCAACGCATCATAATATCCTCTCCGGCTGATCTTAAGAGACGTACCAAGAAACGTAAAACATCTCCCACTCCCAACACTCAAATAACAAATCAAACAGCTACGATCCTACAGCCTCATACTTTGAACATACAAACGGCTGCGGCTGCTCCCCCGGCACCACATACTACCGCACAGCCTCAGGTTGTACAACTTACCGCTACAACACCGACAGCTGCGGCAGCAGCTACAGCGGCCAATGCCTTCCCCCAACAATTTCAACTAGGCTCCGCCGGTATCCAAGGAATTGTGGTGAGTAAGCCCGCCACTGCGACAACCAACACCCAGCCTCAACAGATCATTCTACAAAATGGTCAAATCATCCAACCCATGAATCTATTGGGTCAACAGCTGATTTTGCCCACAACTGGCTTGGTAATGGGACCCGACTCTACACTGCTGCAGATACAAAATGTCAACGGGTGTGCACCCACAGCCAATATTCTGACAGCACCGCAGGCCACAACAACCATGATGTTGCGTGCCACTTCACCTCAGACCAGTAAATCGTTCATCTCATCAACAGCTACTGGACAACAGTTTATTGTGGGCAGTAATGGCCAACTAAGCCCCATTGGCCAAATCTATTCCACACCAATGGGTCTGATGATGCCAGCGACGACCCAACACCATACAACAACACCAACGGCCACATTTGTCCAGCACAATGGTACAACCATACAATTGCATCACCACCATCATCAGCACCAGCAACAACATCAGCATCCTGTAACCGCCACGGCTCATCAGTTGAATGCCACCACAACTACGACCCACCACCAACATCAGGTCACACTGCAGGCCCTGCAAACGCATCAACAGAATTTAAATCAAGTCATCAATAATCCAGTGGGCATTGTTCTGGAAACGGCTGCCTCCTCGACATCGGCAACAGCATCGCCCAATTTGCAAACATCTACTGCGGGCAGTTCACGTTCTTCTTCATCGGCAGCCAGTCCACCCGACACCACAACCCACAGTCCAAGGAGTCCGGAAAGGCCACCAAGTCATCGCAGTGGCGGCAGTGATATGGTGAGTGGAAATGAAAGAAGTGTTTCTTGTAAAACTGTTTGTCTAATATTGTGATTTTCTTGTTTTCGTTTTCGTTCTCTCCCGTATGTTTGTGTAGGTTCAATGCGTTTCATCCTCGGAGCCAGATGGTGGTAATGTCTCACCCATGAGCAGCGATAGCAGGCAATCGCCATCGACAACTGTTTGTGACAAAGGTAGGTTGTGTTATGTAAAGTAGAAGGAAATTGAAAAAGGCAATGAAGAGTTTGGGTGAAATCTGTGGCAACTTGGAATGGAATAGATTTTTAATCATGGGATAATAGAGTCGGCATGAACAAGCCAAGTTCTTCATTGTCTTTTTATTTCATGGATCAAGTCGAAAGAGAGTTAAGTTTTCGAACTTGTTTCTGTACAAAACGAAAAATAATTGCAGAAAAAACCGCTGTTTATTATAAAATCGGAGCTTAAAATAGGACCACGAGAATCGGCGTTTCTAAAGTTAACCTAGCAAACAGGGAGGTAAGTTCCCTCCTGTCGAATTGTTTTTTGTTTTTTAATATTCGGACATAGACCCTTCGAGATCCTAACTTTTTACATATATAGTGTTTTTGACTAAATTTATGCAAACAATGGGTTATGTTAATTTGTAATCACTTCACAGGTCGCAATTATGGCTCGATCCTCAGGAAGCATGGATTTGCGGCTTGGTTCAGAATAGAAGCATGTTTTTGGAGTTGATCGCATAATATTTAGAGGTTGAAATTAACTAAAAAATAGAACAATTTGCTGATTTTGCTCTTGCTCTACAGATCGCAATTATAGACCAATCAACCTCTAAACCGCGAATATAGAGTGTAAATATGCGGAATATATCCCCGGTAACATTTGCCCAGGACATTATGGCATTATTTCAAATAATCAACTAATATGTGTTTGGATCTAAGGAGATTTTACAATATATTATAGTATTGGTCGCCCTCGTCCGTTATGGCCTTTGTTTGCTTGTTATACCCACCACCATTCTATGGAGTTTATCATTCCGTTTGTAACTCCTCGAAATATTTATAATAGACCCTACAAAGGACATATATTCTGGATTAGCGTAAAATTCTAAGACGATATAGCGATGTCCGCCTGTATGTCCATCTGTCTGTCTGTTGTAAACATTCAAACGCATAGTTGTCAATAGGCAGTTTAAATTCGTAAATGAGTCATGTCGGTCCACTTCTTCGTATAGCATCCATATAACGATACCTCCCGATATTCGGTATTTTCATGATATTAGCGACATTACCGAAATTATTTTGAATTTCGTATTTGAAGTTTGTAATGGCTACAACAGCCCGTGGCAAAAAAAATCTTATGCAGGTCCACGTCTTCGTATAGCCCCCATATGACCGTACCTCCCGATAGTCGGTATTTTCATGATTTTTGCAACAATTTTTTTTCATTATAATTGTAACAAATTTTAATTTAAAGTTCGTACGACTTCATATAGTCCCCATATAACGGTTTTCATTTAAGTGGTAGTTTTTGAAATTTTTTTGAAAATTTTCAAGTTCCTTCCAATTGGTGGAGGATATTAAAAGTTTGGCCCGGCCAAACTTAGCTCCTTTTTTACTAGTCCTAATATTTATTTATTTTTGGCGTTTAAGCTAAGTTTAGCTATTGTAGTATTTTAAATTTAGTCTGTGGTAGACCCTTAAGACCCCTTTGGTGATCGTATTGTTCTCGGCGGTATTGCCGAACACACTACATAACTAAAATGTAAGAATTTAGCGAAGTCTTAATCTGAAAATTTCAAAAAATGTGGTAGAGGGAGGATTATGGGACTTGTATCGAAACGTAGACTGACATTAAAAATTAGAATCTAATAAAACCTTCGAAAACTCGATCGCTTAAGTTTTTGTGCAAAAAGTAACTCTGTCGTTTGCGGACCTTACTGAAGGTTTTGTGTGAAAAGTAACTCTATCGATTGAAGATTTTAATGTCAAATTACAGCTGATTCGGTTTGATACTCTAGTTGAATCGTTCTAACTAAAAATTCGTTTTAGTTCCTAACTTCAAAGATTTATTTCGAGCTGTCTCATTCGGCATGGGAAATTGATCCTACTCCCATGTTATGCAATTACTGTAATTTCGATTGATTATTGCAGGTAAAACATTCAAAATCTCTAAAATTTTTAGGCACTGTTGAGAACTTATATTGAAATTTCTTTCTTTCATTCTTTTCTTACGAATCTTTCGATACGGTGTCGCAACCGGTTAATAATTTCTGAAATGCCTCTGCAGAGATTTGTGGCAAAAAACGTTTCAACAACCAAAGAAATCACGGTCCGGGGATTTATTTCAATCGCAAGCATTCCAAATTTCGTTAATTGTTATATTTATATTACACGTTTATTAAGTTTGCATCGAACTCCTTTCCCAATCCTTTAAAATGGTAAACTATAACAGGTGTATGCATTGGAAGCATTGTAGTTGTTGTGGACCAAAAACGCGTCACTACAAAAACAAGCTTTGCTGCGAAAAAGGATTTGCTAATAGAACTTGAGTCGAACTTGGAAATAAACATATAAATCATAAAAATATGATCTTCCCTTCAACAACGTAAAACTCAAAAATTAAAAATTCAGGCAAGCCTGGCTGTGGGATTAAACCGCGGACCTCGGTGTCCAGCCAAATAAGAGTTGCCGCCTCAACGTTCAGAGTCATTAACCCGTCTTCCTACAACGTTAAGCTCGTCTCGAAAGAGAAAACCACACACAAATTCACCAAAAGTAATTTTTAAACAAAATTGCATATAATTTCTAAACATTCCACAAAATCTGAAAGTGTTATTTTTTTGAGCTCAAATCAAATGTTCCATTTTTATTTTACGTCATCCTCATCGATTTTTGTTCATATACCCAACGACTCTATAAATATGACACAATTTAACAGGAATACAACGGGGAAACAAAGCCTGCCACTCAGCTTTGAAATTTTATTTCACGCATTGCTTTGTATTCCATTAAATTTCTATCCTGCGGATATCATATAAAAATGCTTACAAATTTCACATACAAGCGACACAAGCGACTTCCTTCCTGTGTGTTAGCACTCCACTCCACTTCATGTTTCATTCCTTTTGTGAAGGATATTCCGTTGCGCACGCTGCAGAGGGAGTATCGCAAATTGAAAACCCTATTAAATCCAGACCATACCAAGCACAGCCCACCACCATCACCTACTTGAATTACTTTTTTTTTTTTGTCATCGGAAAATTCAGCAGCCCGCCAGGAAGAATAGACAATAAAGTATGTAACAAATATGGAACACTTAAGGCATGTGATTGTCGTCGTCGGCAATGAGAACATAAACCTCAATGGTGCAGAACATTAGATTACGCTATTTACTGCATCAGACTTGGGAGATGGGGTGTTTATTTCTCCGCCAAGGAGGTTTTTTCTTATATAGATTTTATTTTAATATTGCTAATAAATGTATTGTGTAGGAATATGGTTTTGATGTTGCCAATAAATACTGAAGGAAATATAAAGAGCGAAGTAAAAATTTTAAAAGCTGTTAATTTTTATACCATCCACCATAGTATGGAGGGTGTATTAAATTTGTCATTTGGTATAGCCCCCATATAATGGTACGTCCCTTATTCGGTATTTTGGTGATTTAAGCGACATTATTCACCGGAAATGTCAAATTTGGTATTTGAAGCTCGTCATGGGAACTACAGCCTACGACAGAAAATTGTCTGTGCAGGTCCACGTCTTCGTATGGCCCCCATATAACGGTACCTCCCGATATTCAGTATTTTGATTATTTTAGCGACATTATTCACCGGAGTCATTTCAAATTTGGTTTTTGAAGTTCGTAATTGATACTACAGCCTATGACAGAAAATTGTCAGTGCAGGTCCACGTCTTCGTATAGCCCCAATATAACGGTTCCTCCCGATATTTGGTATTTTGATGATTTTAGCGACATTATTCACCGGAAGTGTTTCAAACTTTGGTGTTTGAAGTTCGTAATAAGTACCACAGCCTATGACAGAAAATTGCCTGTGCAGGTCCACGTCTTCGTATAGCCCCAATATAACGGCCACATTCGATATTTTTAGGATTTTAACAGAACGGATTTTATTTTTATTTTTGTATTTTTTTTTTTTTTTTTGAAAATTGTTCCAAATGGTGGAGGGTATTCCAAGATCGGCCCGGCCGAACTTACAGCCTTTTTACTTGTTTTTTTTTTCTAAAATTACAGAAATTCCCGCGTGTAATATGAAAGTAGAGCTTAAAATATGAAAAAGTACATCAGCGTTTGAATGTTTACATCAAATAAAAAAGGGCGGGAAAATTTCGCCCATTTTTAAATTTCGAGTTCCTTAGAAACCATACATTTTACACATATATAGTGTATTTTACATTATATTTGCATTATAAATCAAATATAAAATCCCTATTGTGATTCACTTGAGGGTTAAAATTTCAAAATGAACCTCGTATTGGTATCAGTAAAATATCAGTAAAGTATCAGTAAAATATAAAAACCGAAAATTTCCGAAAATTAGAAAAAGGGTGAAATTTCTCATCTATTTAGGTTATCTGTTTGGGTTAAAAAAAAAGTAAAAAGACATTAAGTTCGGCCGGCTAAAGGAATCATTTTTTGTATAAAAGTATCTAAATGCAAGTTCCAATTTAAACTTTAAACTACAAATACCGGTAAGACCGTGGGGATAATGCAGTTAAACTTTTCAAAAAAAAAAACATAAAGTGGGGGAAGCCGTCATATGGGGCGGCCCATATTAAAACTGGAACCTATATAGACAACATTATACTACAAGGATTTTTATCTATTGCTACCAAATTTCAAACAATTTCGTGGTTAAATGTGACTAAGATTATCAAAATACGGAATATCCGTGCGAACCGTAATATGTGCGCTATAGGAAAACAAGGACTTACATATTCCATGTTCCGCCACCAGAGCTAGAATCCATTATGACTTACAAATACCAATGCTTAGACAAATCCGTGTGAAAAAATGTGGCTATAACCATCAAAATGCCGAATATCGGGAGGTAACGTTAAATGGGGGCTATACGAAAACGTGGATCTATACATACAATGTTCCGCCACCTGAGCTGAACCCATTATGACATACAAATAAAAATTTTTAGACAAATCCGTGAAAAGAAACTATCAAAATACCGAATATAGGGAGGTACCGTTTTATGGCGGCTATACAAGAACGTGAACCGATATATCTCATTTTCAATACCAACCATCCTAACCACAATACCAATTATTACGCCAAATTTTGAAGCTCTACTTCAAATGATGTGGGCTGTATCGTGATTTCAACATACAGACGGACACACAGACTGACGGACATCGTTAAATCGACTTAGAATTTTATGCTAATCATGAATATACAGGGTGAGATAAAAAAACTGCAACTACCAATTGAATGAAAGCAAAAAATTTCGAAAATAGCATCAAATTTTGGAATAAGTTTAGATTTGTTCGAATTGGTCACCTTTGGCACGAATTAAGGCCTTCAAACGGTCAATGAAACCGTCAAACTCTGGAGTATTTTGGCCCATTCCCGGCTAGGCGCTTGCTTGAAGTAATCGACACTTTGGTATTTTTTAGTGCCAACCTTGCTTTCCAAAATACTCCAGTCCAGCTGATTGGTATCCGGAGATACTGATGGCCATTGTGCGCTGGAAATGAAGCGAGGAAGCTCATTTTTTTCTTGGGTGGCGGGTGCTGAGTGCAATGGTGCCGAGTCCTATTTGAATGTCCCAGGCCTGCGGCCAAAATGTTTGCGTGCCTAAGGCTTTAAGACACACTCCAGAATATTTTCGCGATAATATTCGACATTTATTATGATGCCACGGTCGATTAATACGAGCATAGAGCGACCATCGACTGTTATGGCGGCCCACACCATCACCGTGGCCGGCGTTTGAGTTCTGGTGACCAACCGAAGGTGAACATTTCAGCTGACCTCTTTGGCAAGTGGTATAAGTTCATGCACTTTTTGGAATTTCAATGGCTTTACCCCGAGCTCATTTTTCAATATTTGCCGAATGGAATGTAGCGATATGTTCAGATCACGAGCCATTTTTCGGCCACTGCGACGCGGGTTTCGATCAAGTCGCTTCTTTACTTTTCGAAACATTTCTGCTGAAGTTGCTGTTTTCTTCCGTCCACTTCCTTGACGTCGGGCTACGCTACCAGTATCTCGGTAACGAGCGATGGTACGAGACACAAAAGGTTTATTCACATTTAAATGCTGGAGTACTCTAACGATAGCCACTTGTGGTTTTCCAGCCAAACATAAACAAATCACACTATCACGCTTGAATTCCATCACGAAAAACTTTTTTTTTTGGAAAATTCTCACCAAAATGTACACTTGTTAATCATATAATGAGCTGTCACTGGGATAATTTTAACAGCTGGCGGACGAGCGGCTTAGAAATAACAGCAGTCTGAAGTTGGTTGCAGTTTTTTTTAGTTCACCCTGTATATACTTTATGTCGGCTATGAATGAATATTTAGGGTTGTTACAAACGGAATGACAAAGTTAATATCCCCCCTCTTCATGATGAATATATTTTTTTGATATACAATGGAAAAATAGATTTCTTTTGTGACGTATAGTAAAATTTAATAAAGAATATGTTGGTGTTTGACGTCATCATTCTAAAACGATGATGCTTTGTTGGAGATTTATGCACAAAATTACACAAAGTATGCCTTTATCCCTTAAATGTGTTTTTAATATGTATGAGTTCTTGGTGTTTTGTAGTAATACTGCCGAAGGCAGATATATCTTAAATGCACCTAAAACTTAAAAACCGTGGAAGAGGGGGAACTTTACACCTCTATTTAGCTTACTTTGCTATTTTATTTGTTTTTGAAAACTCCCGGAAATTAATTGAAATGGTCGTATTTTCGCAGAAATTATGGAATTTTCGCATAATTAATAATAAATCATTCAGACTTTTATACCACAAAAACAATTACAGTTGCAAAATTGGACACAGGTTCACACTCTTGATGTCATTTAACTAGCTTCCCCTTTAAACCCCTCCTTTTCTTTTACCCATTATTTCCCAAGTGTTCAATCAAAATACCCAGCTTCACCACCTCTATAGCTCAAATTGCTATTAAAGACAATTGATATTCCTTTGGGGATTAAACATCAAAATATGTTCACTTGAAATGCTGTCTAAATATTTTGATGCTCTTATAACCATCCTCGGCAATATTATCGGTTTAATGCTCTTCTGCTTATTGTTTAATATTCTGGGAATACCATTTGGGGATTTGTTGTCGATGCCATGGAAACACGGAGTATTATATAGACTCAGCTCTGATTTAAGTCTACTGCCAAGGAAAATCAATAAAAAAATATTTGTATTTTTACAATTTTCTTATTGATGCCATTTTATCTCAATTTATTTACATTCTCTTCTTTTTTATTCTCAGGTATTGTTATGTCAACCGCATATCAACAAAATGCCAATATTTTTAAGCCCTCGGAAGCGAAAATTCGTCGTGTACAAACACCGCCACAATATCATGTCATAGCAGGAGGTGGAGTTTCGGGTGCCACAACAACTGTAACAGCGAGTACAACAAATATTGCGGGTCTAACGAATTTGACGCTACACCATCATCACCAACACACGTTGGCATCTAATAATTCACAGACATTACAACAAAAACATATGGACATAAAACCAGATACACATGGTAAGTTGTTGTATCCTTGAACTTTGTTCTTGTTTTATTTTGCTGCAATATCTAGACGCACTAATACCAATAACAACAGCATATCCTTGGCCCATACACACACACGTACACTCACATTAACACATCCGCTGGGACATAAACTGAAAGGGCGATGACTATAAACAAGGACAGTTTTATTTTATTTTATGTACGCCTGAATGGTGTCCCAAAAGAAAATATTTCATAACGACATTTGTACACAATCTTACATTCATATATATGAGCAGATAAATGACACATCGCCTGTAACATGGAGACGTGATATATATATGAGTCATTTTATTGTAGATTAAAAAAATCCAATATTTGGGAAGTAACTAAATTATATATAAATACGTTTTTAATATTTTTTTAATTTGAAATAAATAATCGAAAGCCTCTAAAAGTTATTTTGGAAAACAAATTCAAACTCATTTTCTTTTAGTCATAAATACTATGATAAAAATCTAGTTTCATCATAAAGATTTACATTTTTTTCAAAGTTTGATAAAAATTCATTTAATTGTTAATATAACTAAAGTACCGCATTTGAATGTATAAAAAACGTATTAGGAATTCAATGACTCATATAAAAACGTTTCTTCCCTACCCACGACAAATTCCTAGCTCACATAACTTGTATATTAACCATACATTGACTTTTGTATTTTTTTTTTTATTTGTTATAATATATATGTTCTCTTTTATATCTATTGCCTTAACATACTTACATAAAATCGTATCTATTTATATACCTTACTGAATTTCATCCACGAGTCCTTTGGAATTTATGTTGTATTTTTCTGAATCATCGTATTGTCTTCAACAATATATCCTCATACTAACATTCATCTACGAATTCAACGGAATCTAAGAAAACACAAAAAAGAAACGATGTTGTAACCTAAAATAAAAATATTTTTTTTTTTTGTTTCCCAATATCCTCTGTTTTAATTATTTTTCTTGTTTAATTTTATATTTACTATGTGTTATAATAATAGAATAATATGTAGCTTTCGCATACGATAAAAATATTTATACCCTACAACACTATGTGTTGGGGGTATTATAAGTTTGATTGGGCCAGAATTTATGTAACACCTCGAAATATTGGTTTCCCATATAGGAAAGTATATATGGATCTTCCTAGCTCGCCGAGATGAGTCGATCTAGCTATGTATGTCCGTCCGTCCGTCTGTCCGTCTGTCCCTCTGTCCATGTTAATTTGTAATCACGCTACAGGTCGCAATTATGACCCGATCCTTACGAAATTTTGCACGAAGGTAGGGTTAGGGTCAGAATAGAAGCCTATTTCTTATGGAGATGATCGCCAAATGTTAAGGGGTTGAAATGGACCAAATGCTGAAAAAATGTCGGATTTTGCAGTAGCTATACAGGTCGCAATTATAGACCAATCGACGCGGAATTTCGGTGTAGGTCGGGGAAGAAGCCTACCAATTTGGGTGGTCATCGGACAATATTTAGCGGGTAAAATAGACCATATCTTTTGTGTTAAAAAAATTCAAAAATTCAATTTTTTTCATTAAACCGCGAATATTTCAAATCCCGGCGAAATCACAAAGCCGTGACAAGGTTACTTCTGATCTTTACATTGATGTTAATATCCATCAAATCGGATATATAGAAAAATATGTGTATATGTCTATCAAAGAAGATATGCTTGAAAGATCTCTTATATGTCGAGAACGGCTGAACTGATTTCGACAGTTCTCATTAATTCAAAATGGCCTCTAGGCAGGAAAGAAAAAACGTCTAAAAAAATTGCATAAAAATATCTCTCTAAAGATGAAAATATTGATTTTGTAATATTTTCTCATATTTTTTCAATTTTGTCATATTTTTGGCATATTTTCATTTTGAATTAAACATTTGGTAATATTTCTACAGCTAACAAAACTAAGTAGTTAGGATATCAGGATATCATGTACAGGTCGCATTTATGGCCCGATCCTTATGAAATTTTGCATGGGGATAAGATGAAGGTCAGAATAGAAGCCTACTCTTTTTGGAGATAATCGCCATATATTTAGGGGTTGAAATGGACAAAAAAACTGCAAAATTGTCAGCAGCAAGTCGTAATTATCGCCCGATCCTCACGCGCATTTGAATGGAGGTTACCGGACATTGCAAAAGCCAAATAGTTTTGGATGAGCATCCAAAAATATTCAATGTGTGAAATAGTTTGCCAACTTTTGTAGACAAAATACGAAAATATCCATTCCAGTGACTTTTTGGATAATTCACAAACACGGGAAAGACGCACTTCTGATTATTTCGTTAAGGCTGATTTCGTTGAAGAATATAGTCAAATGTCTGTATCTCATATAGATGCGTTTTAGTCAAAAACCAATAATAAATGTTAATCTTTTGCCACTTCTAAGAGATTATAGGTCTTTGGGAAATAATGGTTCCAGATCTAGGAAGACCATTTACGTACGTGCAACATCTACCAATAAATTGGAAATGAGCAAATTAGTTTAAGTTGCTATTATTCGAAAATTAGAGAACGAAACCTGATGGTTTTCTTTTATAATTTGTCACAAAATCTTGTGGAATTCTTTCGAGTATCTCGCCTATATAAACTGTATCATTTATTATAGAGTTGTAGGGTATTCAACGGTCGGCCCCGCTCGACTGTAGCCTTTGCTGACTTGTTTTATTTTGGATTTAAAAAAATGTTTTGGACTTATAAGTACTATAGCAGTTATTTTTCGAATAAAATTTTCATTGAAATTTAATATTTTTGGCACAAGAATATACGATTTGCTTAAATTTGAGCCATTTTTTTATAATATTTAAAGCAATTCCAAAGTTCGAATTCTTTTAAGCATGTTTTAAGATAAGACATTTTTAGCTATATGCCTAGAGAGGGTATTAATCATTTGATACGGCCAAAACGTGCCTCATCGGTTTTAGACCCTAGGTCTCTTTAGACCACATCCGTTTCATGAAATTTGGAGTCGATCTAGCGATGTCCGTCCGTCTGTCTGTCTGGCTGGCAGGTGCGCACGATAACTCTCGAAGGGAGTACCCGATTTGATCAGAACTAGACACATCGTAATGTTATTGTCAAACTTAGATCGAGTTCGGAGATGGGCAATATCGGTCGACTCCTTCTGGTACCTCCCACACAAAATGTCAACATTTTCAAAGAAAATAGTTTATTGTACAAGAGAAAGAGAAAGGATAATCCAATTCTAATATTTGCATCAGGTGCGAAAATGAACAATATCGGTGCACCCCATCAAGTACCTCCCCCACAAAGGGTTACAATTTTGAATAATTATAACTCTTATAAAATGTGATGCAAGTCTCCGATTGTCTTCAACTTACACACATTACAATATTTTTATTGACGCAAAGTCTGGTGTAAAGATTAAATATATCGGTCCACTCATTCTGGTACCTCTCCTACAAAGTGTCAAAATTTTGAATATTTATAAAGCTCATAAAACACGGAATTGACATCCGATTCCTTTCAGACTTGGCACATCTCAATACTTCCGTCAACACAAGATCTCTTATAAAGATGATAGAGATCGGACCATTCCTTCTGGTACCTTCCACACAAAGGGTCAAAGTTTTGAATTAACAAAACGATCATAAAATCCGAATTAAGCATCTGTTTCTCTTCAAATTACACACATCACAATACTTCTATTCGCCCAAGGCCTGGTGTGAAATTGTTATATATATATATTGGTCAACTCCTTCTGGTACCTCCTCCACAAAGGGTCAACATTTTGAATAACCATGAAGCTCATAAAATGCGAAATTAACATGTGATTCCATTCAGACTTGGCACATCTCAATATTTCTATCAAAACAAGATATTTTATAATGATGGTAGAGATCGGATCATTGCTTCTGGTACCTCCCCCACATAAAATTCAAGATTTTGAAAACAAAAAGCTCAAAGAAAACGAATTAAGTATCCAACTCTCTTCAAATTTCACACATCCAAATATTTTGGCTAGCAGGATCTGTGGATGTGTATCTGCGAGCCCCTTATGGTACCTCACCCACAACAGTGCCGTTAAAAATGTCGCTAAAACATGGGGGTTATACGAAGACGTGGACCTGCACAGACCATTTTTTGTCATACATTGTACCCATTACGAACTTGACCTGCCTGCAGACAAAATAAAGATCTGTGGAAAATTTGAGCTTTCTATATTAATTCGGTTTGACTGTAGCGAGATTACAATAGATGGACGGACGGATGTGGAAAAATTGAGCTTCCTATCTTAATTCGTTTTGACTGTAGCGAGATTACAACAGACGGACGGACATGGCTAAATCGTCTTAGAATTTTACGCTAATCAAGAGTATATATACAGGGTTGCCCATATTCGACGGACCCATGACTCTTTGGGCCCATTCCAATCGACGAGGCTTGTCCACAGGCAACATTCTTTTCGTCAATTGAATTTTGTACGGGAACAAATGCAAATCAATGCGAATAATCCGTTGTAAAGTGGACCGAGCCATGCCCAACTGCTGAGAACGGCGTTTTTGGGATGTTTTGGGGACCTCTCAACACTGGCTCGTACGGCAGCGATATTCTCGGCCGATCGCCTTGGTCGACTTTTATATGGCCTCTTCGGATTAGAAAGAGCCTTACCAGTCGAAAATTTTTCGTATAAACGCTTAATGGTGTTCTTAGAAGGCGCACTTCTGACATTTTTTAATGTTTTAAAAGCACGTTGAGTTTTCACAATTGACTTCTTCTGTTGAATGTAAATTTCAACTATTTCAGAGCGCTCGCGTGGGGTGTATTGGTTCATGGTAAAAATCTGCTTGGACTAACGCTTCAAACGCGGTATGTCATTAAGCGATGTGACATCTCTGTCAAAAGTTATGGCGTTGTCAGATGGGTCCGTCGAATATGGACAACCCTGTACGTTGTTGAGTCTAAAATTATTATTTCGATGAGTTACAAATGGAATGACGAACTTAATATACCCTCCATACTATGTATGGTGGAGGGTATAAAAAAGTGCAGTGTTGACCCGCTAGTTGGTATTGCTTCGATTACCAAACGGCTGATTGACATGGGTCCCATATAACGGTACCTTCTGATTTTTAACCACATCAACTTGAATTTTTAATATGGATCATAATTTTTCCCAATTGCATGAAAAAATGGAAATCTTGGAGAGAAAATTTCTTCTATTGTTGTCAGGAAAACATTGCAATGATTGTATAATGATCTTAATATTCGATCGGCATTTATTTTTCTTAGGTCTCTAGAACAGGTCTACTCTTCTTTAACCTTTTGTTGTACCCATTGATAAATTTATAGAAAGGATTTTTAGATAAATACAATTATTTGAGTTTCAAAGTGAAATAAATCCTCACAAGCCATGACATTTTGAAATGCCACAACAATATATGTACATCAACAAATTATTGACATTTTGGCGAAGAAATATTACATTTTAGATTGATGACTTAAGAGCCTAAATTGCTCATAGAACAAATTTGATTTATTGCCAAGCTTTTGATAAATATGACTAACAGCCACAACAACTAACCAAATGTGTCATTCAAATACCATTCATAATATCTCACATAACAGGTTCATGGTTTTGTTATTTTCGGATTGGGTTTTTGCATACATTCCCCACCCTTGTCTCATATCCATCAATTTTAACATCCATTGCCACACTAAAGCTTTCACTGTTATTTCTCTACATTCTCTAACGGCTTGAAATGAGTATTTCTTTGATTTTGTTATATATTTAAAGTGTTATTTTATCATAGATTCGCCACAGAATTCTCCCACTACAACGGTTATGCTAACACCGCCACCGCCACCACCACGAACCCCAACCCCTTTGCAACAGCAGCAAATACTACAACAACAACACCAGCAGCAGCACCAACAATTGCAACAATACCACCCACAACAGCAGAACTTCTTACAAAACTCTTCAACGATTTCCGTTTCCGAGAATCGTCTACAACACCAATCCCAACAGCAACTCCAACACAACCATAAAACTCCAACCAAACAAACTCAACGGAATCGAAATCGTTCGTTGAAGCCATTATCACCACTTACCACACACACAAAAGTAACTGGTGCTGATGCGGAGGAAGTTTCTACTGCTGGCGGCAGTGGTTGTGGTGGTGGAGCAACTGCAGGTGGTGTAAGCATTTCGCCATCTGCATCCTCTACCCCTCCACTGGCCATGAGTTTGATGCGTACCTTTGCAGTAGGTGAACTAATATGGGGTCCGGCACGTGGTTTCCCCGCTTGGCCTGGTAAAGTTGTAAAAATTCCCGACAATCAACAGGAATCCGTTTGGGTTCAATGGTTCGGTGGTGGTGGCCGCTCTAATACCGAAATAATGCCCACAAACATATTGCAAAGTCTATCTGAGGGCTTGGAAGCCCATCACAAAGCGCAAAAGGATACAAGAAAGTGAGCAATTTGTTTTTAAATATTTTTATATTGTTTTTTTATTATTAAGCTATCCCATAATCTGCGGACTTAAGATAAGCTTGGCTTGTGGTTATACATAGTGAATGTCGTAACGTTATGAAATTTGAGATTTTTCCGGCATATTTCCGGCTTTTAAATGTCTCTTAGCTTCACAGAGTATGATATATTTGACTGGTAAAAAGTTTAACTCATCAAAACAACGATTTCAAATTAAATGTTGTACATCGTAAAAGTTCTACTAAACATCAAACTCCAGATTTGTAGCAGAATATCTTTATAAAGTCTACGAATTTTACTACAAGTCCATGAAAAATACAATATTTTTGGTTTGTAAGAATCTTGTACTTGTGAAATTTTATATGTAACACTTGAATAATTGAGTAAAGCCCTTGAGAAGGATTTTTAAAATATTCAGGATTTTGTTCTTCGAGAAATTTTCTAAAAAAAATATTCCTAAAAATCAAATATTTTTGTTGCTTGGATTTTTTTAATTGTTTAAACATTTTTTGGCCCTTTAAAAAAACTAATCTGAAAATATATCAGGATATCCTCGAACAGTTCTTAAAAAACGCTGTTTTTTCATTCAAGAATTTCTAGTTATTTTTTAATACTCCATATTTTTGGTCTTTATGTTCTTCAAATTTTATCAGATTTGTGGTCCATGGAAATATAGAACTGAAATCCTCAAATTTTTTCTGGAGGTTCTTGAAGGAATCTTAGAAACCCATGATATTTACCAGGAAGTCCTTAAAAATATTACTAAAAACAATTTTTGGTGCCTGAAATGTTATTCTTTGCTAAAAAAAAACATGATTTGTGTTAAAATACCCTGTTACCAAAAAAACATCCCTGTTCTCCATTTTTATACCGTCCACCATAGTATGGTTGATTTAACGATGTCTGTCCGTCTGTGGAAATCACTCTAGCATCCGTAGGAAATTAAGTATGTTGATATTTTTTTTTTTGTATATTACAGGGTTGGGCATATTGCACTAAATTTTTAGTGCACTAAGAATTAAATAATTAGTGGTAGTGCAAGTTTTAATTCCACTACCACTAAAGGGTTAGTGGTAATAAAATTTCACCACTACACTTTAGTGGTAGTGAAATTTTATTAGCACTACCACTAAATTTAGTGATTTTTCAAATAAAAGTTGCACTACCACTAAATTTTAGCGAAGCCAAAAAAAGCACTGTGTATATAAGTATTATACCAGCTATAATGAAGTTTATTGAAGTGAGTAGGGAACTACAATCCAGAATATATAGTACATATTCATAAAATTTGATTACTTTTCTAAATAGCACTAATTTAGTGCTATTTTTTATGAAATACCACTAATTTAGTGCAAGTTTTTTTAAATACCACTAAATTTAGTGGTAGTGCTATTGAGATTCCACTACCACTAAAATGTAGTGGTAGTGCAATTTTTTTGTTTAAATATCACTAAAGGGTTTAGTGGTAGTGCAATTTATTTTTCACTACCACTAACCCTTTAGTGGTAGTGGAATTAAAAATTGCACTACCACTAAATGAACAGTGATAGTGAAAATTTTAGTGCACTAAAAATACAGTGCATTATGCCCATCTCTGGTATATTATGTCTGCAGGGCTTTTGGTATTGAAAATGGGCCATGTTAGGTCCACGTTTTAGTATCCTCCTCATATAATGGTTTCTCCCTATTTTCGGTATTTTGGTGATTTAAGTGACATTATTCACCGGAAATGTTTCAAATTTGGTATTTAAAGTTCGTAATGGATACTATAGCCTATGACAGAAAATTGTCCGTGCAGGTCTACATCTTCGTATAGCCCCCATATAACAAAGGTACCTCCCTATATTTGGTATTTTGATGATTTTAGCGACATTATTCACCGGAATTGTTTCAAAATTGGTATATGGAGTTCGTAATGTATATTACAGCCAGTCTATGCAAGTCCACTTTTTGGTATGGTTCCTCCCTATATTCGGTATTTTGATGATTTTAGCTACATTCTTTACCGATATTTTTTTCATTTTTTTTTTTCAAGTTTCGCATTTGAATATTGTAACGGCTTATGACAAAAAATGCCCATGCAGGTCCACGTCGTCGTATAAACCCTAATATAACGGCTACATTTGGTATTTTTAAGTTTTTAACAAAACTTTTAACGGATATATATTTTTTTGAAAATTGCCAAATTCGTTCCAAATGGTGGAGGGTATTCAAAGTTCGGCCCGGTCGAACTTACAACTTTTTTAATTGTTTTTTTTTTTTTTTTTCTTAAGAATATCATGGTTTTTGATCCTGACCAAAGTTCAGATTAATTTTGTCTGGTGGTCCTTGACATTTTTTTACATTCCATGATTTTTGAACAGGATATCCCAAAATAATCTTAAGAATTCACGATCCTGAACTTTTCGGTACAGTTTTGTACTATTTTCTTAAAAAATCTCAGATTTGTAATTACAAATATAATTTTTTTTTTTTTTTTGATTTCCTTAAAAATTATTTCAAAAACAAAATTTCAACAACCAATTATCATGATTTTTATGACATCCTAGCTGTTTCTTGGAGGACTTGAAAAAATAATTTTCTTTGTCTTTGAGTTTTTTCTTTAATTTCAATATTTTGATCCTTACATTTTTTAGAAACACGCGATTTTACTTAGTTTAGTAGAACTATATATTTCGTAAAAATTCGATTGGGTACAAAGAACGAAACTCACTCGAATTCGGGTGAGCGAAAAAAATCGAGCTAACTCGTTTTTCGATGTCGCTCGATTAGGATTTTTCCTCGTTTTTAAGTGGAAACAAAATTCGTTCGAAATCGAGCAGATTCTACTCTTTCGTTTTGTCACACCGCACATCCAATCTTCATACTACATTTAATATTGGCTAAGATATTGAGAAATAATGATGATTTATGATAATTTATAAGAAGGACTAGGGAAATATTTTCGTTTTTTTTTTTTTTAATTTTAAATATCAAAAAACGACAAAAGAAGCAGAGAGAGATTTATTTTGATGAGTTAAATTTTGACCGTATCATGTTTTATAGCCAAAAGGCTAAGAATGTAATTCGTTTTACATTTGTAATTGTTTTACATTGAATTTTAATTTTTGCCTTCAATAAAAAAGTTATCTTGTCCAGTTATCAATTTTGTGTAACCGGCTAGGTTATTTTTCGATTTTTACTGTCCAGCAGAAGGGTCGTATTTCGACTTGGATTTCGAATTTGATTTAAATGTTTTTTATTGCTAAATTTGTAGAACATAAAATCAAAAAACCCTAATTAATGCATACTTCGTGGCGCCCAATTAAAATCGACCAAAAATCTTTCGACACAACGACTTTGTTTTATTGCAAACAATACACACTGGTATAAAACACGCTTGCTCGGTTCCAGAACCTGCAAGAATTTACTAATTTTGCAATTTTACTTTTAAATGCTTGCATTTCTGGATCAGAGCATTTAAAATCTCCAAATAGATTCCTATACTCTTTTAGCAGAAGTTCTACAAAATTTTCAATATAAGTTAGAATAAATAATGATATTTTTAAATGTTATCCACATTCCTGAGAAGTTAGATTCTAATAGTTTTTGCATATATAATTTCTTTTATATTTCGTATACATATTTATTTATTTTTTCTTTAATTTAAAATGATGATAATTTTTATTTATTTCTTCCTTTCCCTTCAAATCCCATCCCAAAAAAAAAATTAAATAAACAACAACACATATAAAACACACCAAAAACTATGAAAAACAACATCATATTATTCTGAAAAATACACTAAATTCCAAAGGAGCCGTAAATTAAATTCTCAACTTGAAAAAGCCATACAAGAAGCAATGACCGAATTGGACCGTATTTCAGCTACATCAAGTACGAATACCAATTCCAACAACAACAGCAGACAACAGCCAACATCATCTACCCAACATCAAAATAGTCCAAATCGAGCCAATAAACGTCCCATTCCAAGGACTGGAGGCTATGATTTAATTGCTGGACTTGTCAACAATAATAACTACAACAACAACAACAGCAACAGCAACAATAATAATCACAATTACACATCATCAAATACCATTTCGACAACAACAGGATCAACAAATCGCACTAAACCGATACGTATTGCCCCAGCACCTCCACCCCCTAGTGCTTCAGCATCATCACCAATGAAAACAAATGCCATCGGTGGCGGTGGATTGGCGGCAACATCGGTAGCTACAACATCTTCATCAGTGACCGCATCCAACAAATGACAGCATCTCAATAAGGAGTTGATAATCAAGACACCACCCGTTGTGGTAAGTTCAAGCTCCGTAACCAATACAACAATATCGACGACAACTACAGTTAATAATGGTAATCCCCAATTGGCATGGACCATGCAGGGCGGTTATACATTTGTTATACAAAGAACCTAGAGGTAAAAACTTGAAATTTGTTATTAATTTTTAAGAGTGTGTGTATTTATTATCACTAACCCTGTGTCTCTAACACTCTCTCTCTCTCTCTCTTTCTTTATATATATATATATTTACAATAAGAATTATGTATTAAGGAATTGTTAAAAAATAATTAAATGTTTAAAAAAAAAACAAGCATTAACAAAATACTTATCAAAACCAATTGTAGAAAGTCGCGTATAAACTTGTCGTAGACCATAAAATAATAATCAACCAATTGATTATGCATTTTCGTAAAAGAAATCAGTAGCTAGTGTGATTTACTCAATAAGTGAAAGTAAAAAATAAAATTGGGTACCGTAATGAATAAATATATATTTTTGTTGGATTTTAGGGATTTCAATGTCTTGAACGTCTATAAAAATAGAGTTGCATTTAAAAGTGACTCATTTCCAAAGTGCATCTACATACCTGAAATATTTCTGCCACATCAATCATCATCAAATGTATGAGTATGAGTATGATATGATTAGCGTTATGGTTTTGCTATATAGTGTACAAAAAAATGAGATTTTCGCAGACACTCAAAAGTGTGTCGATCAATCGCATCGATCATCGCATCAGCAAATATGTTGTAATGCAAAAAAAGTTATACGAATTCCAAAAAATAAAAATGGCTATAGCTCCGCTATATATTCTTCATCCGATTTGTTAAATTTGTCCTCCACAGCCGTAATATGGGCACCGTCGCAAAGATAATCTTTGAAATATACAAATACATCTCAGAAATACTTTTGCCAAATTTTATCGAGACCGGTTCAGATTTGGACCCCTCTGTAAATGGGCCATGTCGGTCCACGTTTTCGTAAAGCACCCATATAACGGTACATCCCGATATTCGGTATTTTCATGATATTAGCGGCATTATTTACCGGAATTATTTTAAATTTCGTATTTAAAGTTCGTACTACAGGCTATGACAAACATTCTTGTATGCAGGTCCACGTCTTCGTATAACCCCCATATAACGGTACACCCCGATAGTTGGTATTTTAATGGTTTTAGCGACATTATATACCGGAATTGTTTCAAATTTGGTATTTGAAGTTCGTAAAAAAACCTATGGAAAAAAATTTCGTATACAGGTCTTCGTATAGCCACTATATAACGGTACCTCCAGATATTCGGTATTTTTATGATCTTAGCGACATTATTTACCGGAATTATTTCAAATTTCGCATTTGAAGTTTGTAATGGGTGCTACAGCCTATGACAAAAAATTTCGTAAGCAGTTCCACGTCTTCGTATAGCCCCCATATAACGGTGCCTCCCCATAGTCGGTAGTTTGATGATTTCAGCAACATTATTCGCCGAAATCGTTTCAAACTTCGTATTGGAAGATCTTAATGGGTACTACAAAAAATTCGTATGCATGCTTACGTCTTCGTATAGCCCCCATATTAAGATACCTCCGGATACTCGGTATTTTCATGATTTTTGCGACATTATTCACCGGAATTGTTTCAAATTTGGTATTTGAAGTTCGTAATGGATACTACAGCATATGACAGAAAAGTGTCTGTGCAAGTCCACGTTTTGGTGTAGCCCCCCTAGTACCACCCTACATTCGGTATTTTGATGATTTCAACAAAATTTTTAACGGATTTTATTTTTTGAAAATTGCCAAATTCGTACCAAATGGTGGAGGGTATTCAAAGTTCGGTCCGGCCGAACTTACAGCTTTTTCACTTGTTTTGGTATTGTTTTATGGCAATGAAATTAACTGATTTGACTCAATATTTTGACCTGATATTTTTCCTTCATTTTTTGTTTTCCAGTTTCGCATTTGAATATTGTAATGGCCTATGACAAAATTTGCCTACGCAACAAAATTTTTATCGGATTTTATTTTTTTGAAAATTGCCAAATTCGTTTCAAATGGTGGAGAGTATTCAAAGTTCGGCCAGGCCGAATTTACAGCTTTTTACTTGTTTTGATTTCGTTTTATGGCAATAAAATTAACTGACTTGACTCAAATGTTTACCCGAGTTGTCCGTGAATTTCCAACATTTACGCCTTACGCGACTTAGACCCTATATGAGGATTCGGATGTAATTTGATATTTGGACTACTTTGTTGGGCAGTCGACCTTTAAGGTTTGCAAAACTACATATGTTCAACCAATTCACTGACCAATAAAAGAATTATAAACTATGGTGTTAAAATACCAGAATTTCATATGCACTGACTTTTCTCTGCCCCTTAGGTGCGCTCATTTCATAAGCATTGAAAGCACGAAACCCCAAATAAAAATAGAAGATTTTGTGAATGAATAACATGGTAATAAGGAAAATATTTTACAAAATATTGTTAAATAAAATATCTATAATATTTAATTCTAAAAAATACTAATATTGTAGACATATACGAAAAAAAAAAAACAATGTTTGTGTATTTTTTTCTTAACTTACACGCTTCTTATCTTTGTTGTTAATACCAATCTTGATTAAGTATTGTAAAGAAGTGTTGAACATTATTCTACAATGAAAAACTGCCGGGTTTTTATTTTTTGGGCAAAAATTGCCACAAAAGCGTTCTGGTATTCTTCAAAGTATCAATTTTTTTCTTAAATTAAAAAAAAAACACTTTAAAACACATACACTGGTGACCAAAACTAAAGCAACGGAAATTCCATGGAGGATGAATGACCTGCAACTTTTTTTTTAAAAAAATTAAGAAAATGAAAAAGTTTTTCTAGTTTTAGATTAGGCAGTTTATTCACTTTTTAAAAACTTAAAACAATAAACCAAATTTAATTTTTATATAAAAATAATGTATGGTAAAGTCAATTAACCCGATTTCGGCTTGAACAAAACAAAATTTTACGGTGAGAAGACCAAAATATGAAAGCCTTAAGCCGCCGTGTTGCAAGGGTACAGTGAAGCATGAGGGAGCGTCAAAAATGGTGTGGCGCCGTTTTTCTTTCTATGGACTTGGGCCTATCCATGAAATGAAGAAAGTTATGGATCGGTTTGTTTACAATGATGTGTTGGACATCACGTTGTTCCCTTTCCCTGAGTATAATATTCGCCTTATTAGAGTGTTTCAGCATGACAATGATCCCAAACATGCATAAAACTTGTGAAAGATTGGTTGTGGGAGTCAGAAATCGGTGTTTTGTCATAGCCGACATCTGACCTGACCTAAACCCCACAGAAAACCTTTGGAGTATCGTAGACTGGAAAATCAAGCGAGATTCAATGCCTCGTAGCTGTGCAGCTACATCAAAAATAATGATTACCCAAAACTTTTTTTTTAAAAATAAAAATCAAAAAGTTGCTTTTGTTTTGACCAAGCACAATTGGGTCATTTTAGTTTTCCATATATTATTTTTCATTCAAAATTATTTTTCTATTTTTATTTTTAGTTTTTAAAAAGTAAATAAAGTTCCACATTTAAAACTGGGCAAACAAATTACAATTTGTTTATTTTTGTAAAAGTTACACGGCATTTATTGTCTTTGCGATTTTAGTTGCTTTCATTTTGGCCACCAGTGTACATAGAATTAGTGTTTTTTCTCTCACATTAACTTTCTATCGAATTTCCGAAAAGTGCTCCCCTTAAATGGCTCGATTATAACATGTAGTTCTGGAATTTGCTCGGCATATTCTTTACAATAATAAAGCAAGTAGCATATTTAATTTGCAAAACTTCAGAACCAGCAGCCAACATAACAAAAAAACCGAAAATAGACAATAAAGCTAAATTTAAAAGAAAAAAAGAAAACATATATTTTTTGAAATAGAAAATGCAAATATTTACACCAAAACCAGCAAAACGAGTTTAAATGTTATTTAAAATCAATAAAAATATTTTTCTTATTAATAATTAAATAAATAACAAATACAAACCAAGAAATATATATTTTTAGAACTATGAAAAAAAAAATAAAATAAATATTCCCCTCCAAACACGAGTACGAGCAATTTGTGCTTTTTTGTAAATATAAATGTTGATGATTTTGCATTTTTATTATTACTCCCTTTTAATTTTATTTAGATTAAGGAACTCAACATTTATTTTTGAGTTATTGAAAAATTAATGAAATAAATTCTTGATCAAAAAGTTATACCTTTTGAAGAAAATAAAATTCTATCGTATCTGTCTCTTATTTATTAATGTTTGTACATAACTAGACTTTCAAAACAAGAAACGAAAACACAAAACTCAAAATAAAAAACAAACCTACTTAAAAAGTTATGTTGAAAACATGAATCTGTCGCAAGACTTAAATCAAAAATAGTTTAAAAACTTATATTTAAAAATAAAAAATTATAGAAATATTAAGATTTTGAAAAAAGAAAACACAAAACCATTTATTAGTTGTTAAGCCCAGAATTTGTTATTCGATTATTTTAATTTAAGAAAACTAAAAAAATCGCTGTATTGAATTTAGAAATGTTAAAAACAAATACATGAAAATATTTAATTCTCTTTTTAAATAATAACCAATACATCATTTAAGTTAAAATTAAAAATTTGTTGATCATGTTTCTTTTTTCTTAAATTTCTATTTTTCTTTAAAATGTTGTTTAGATATTTATATGTAACTTTTTGTTTTTTTTTTTTCGTATTTATTCATTGATGGCTAACCTTTTTATGAATTTACTAATTTTATTTACATTTGTTGTTATTATTTATTTAGTTATTGTTTTTTTTTAATTAATGGGACAAAAATAAAAAAGAATAACAAACTTTGTTTTTCCTTACTTTAATTTTATTTATTAGAGAATAAATGCAAACTTTTTGTCTCATATGTAAACTGAGAAAAATAAGTATATTAACTAAAATTGTGTAAGAAAACAAAAAAGAAAAATAAAGCAACAACAGAAGAACTGTTTACAAAAACCCCAAATTGTAAACCCACAACAACAACAAAAAATATATAATAGTACACCCCAAGAAAGCAAATATTCATGGCATTATTTAATAAAGGAAAACAAATATAAAACTAAAAAAATAAATTTGGTTTTAATTTGAAGCGCAAAAGGTTTGTATTTTCACCAGCAGATGTTTATTTACAAAAAAAGTTAAAAAATTGTAATTTATTTATTTATTTTATATAAAGTTAATTTGAGCTTTAATATTTACGGTCACATGCACCTAGCATCATATATTCAGCAAAAATGTTGCTCCTTTCAAACTACCCAAATTTGAATGTAAAAATATTGAATCCTCCTGTATCTGTACAATTTTCTTTAAAAAATTAAATTTTTATTTCATTTTGAAACCTCGGGTATAGAAAAGTAAGTTCGCCCGGGCCGAACTTTGAACACCCTTTACCATTTGGAAGGAATTTGGTAATAAAAAATAGCGAATGTAGCCGTTATATTAGGGTCTATACGACGACGTGGACCTGCATCATCAAAATACCGAACATAGGGTGGTACTATCATATGGGGCCTATACCAAAATGTGGACCTGCACAGACAATTTTCTGTCATATGCTGTGGTATTCATTACGAACATCAAATACCAAATTTAAAATAATTCCGGTAAATAATGTCGATACAATCATCAAAATATCGAATATAGGGAGGTACCGCTAGAATGTCGCTGGAATTATCAAAATATATATACGAAGACGTTGACCTGCACAGACAATTTTCTGTCATAGGCGAACATCAAATACCAAATTTGAAACAATTCCGGTAAATAATGTCGATACAATCATCAAAATATCGAATATAGGGAGGTACCGCTATATGGGGGCTATACGATTACGTGGACCTGCACAGACAATTTTCTGACATAGGATATGGTATCCATTACGAATATCAAATACCAAATTTAAAACAATTCCGGTGAATAATATCGCTAAAATCATCAAAATACCCAATATCGGGAGGTACTGTTATATGGGGCCTATATGAAGCCGTGGGCCTGCACGGACAATTTTCTGTCATAGGCTTTAGTATCCACTACGAACTTATAATACCAAATTTGAAGCAATTTCGGTGACTAATGTTGCTAAAATCATCAAAATACCAAATATTGGGACGTACCCTAATATGGGTCGAATAGCGACCAATAGTGGAGGGTATATTAATTTTGCCATTCCGTTTCTTCGCCGACCCAAAAAATTATATATTCTTGATTAAAGTCGGTATTGAAAACGAGATTCATCTGCGCACATGTAGGTATAGCCCCACACATGGCAGTACCTCTTGATTTAATTTTTTACAACATTTCAGTCAGACCGTCCAAGCATATTAACTGCAATTTAAAATGTCCATGAAAACACGAATACATTTTCATTTATTTAATATATAAAGGCAGCAATTGCATTTTTGCCAACCGATTTGTATAGATTTATAATCACATTGGTCGGAAAATAAGAGAAAAAATAAAACATACCTCTAGGCGCAGAAATAAAATGTTATTCCCTACCAAAATGCATGAACAACCCACTCTGTTGTAGCGCCGCAAGTTATGTTATAATATTTAAGAAACATCAAAAAGTTACCTAGCCATCTGGCAACTTTGCTCCATACAAGTGCCCATCAGAAAATTTGAGATTTCTTCGCTTACCATTTTCATGTACTAGGCGACCAGCATCGTGTAGCAGCTACATTTTAACACAAGATAAAGTTCAAATGATTGTAACTCCCTAACGAATGCAGCTATCATGATGAAACTTTCACAAGCGGTCAGAGGAAATATTGTAGTTTTATTGTGTCTCATTAGACGAATCTTTAAAATTCGTATTAATGGGCAAATCCATCTATTTTCACAAACTTCAGAATTTTGCTGTAGTTTTAAAAATTGCGTGAATTTTGGAATTGTTACAAAATAATAAGATGGATCAAGTGTTACCGAAAATGAAATTGGAGTGTTTAGAGGAAAAAGATGAACTGCATGATGTAACAAACAAGGTTTTGTTCGTGATGTTGGAATGATCCAAACTTCAATTATTGTGAATGAAATTGTTGCCTTATACCATAAAACTCGTAAATATACATATATAAAAATTACACTGCTGTCCTTAAAAATTACTAATTTTAATGTTATAATTCCGTGCAATTCCTAATGCAAAAATTTATATTTTATTTTCAATTACTAACCTACCCCATAGGGTCGAGGACGGTTCCTTATACTTCTATACATGACTGCTCTAAAATATTACTTATTTTATTTCGCTGATTAATTGGCTATTACTTATTTCTCGGCAACCTAAAAAAATTTTAATAATTTAACTCTCATCACTACTTAGGAAAAATTGGGTATTTTTCATACTCTTAGCCGTATGGCTACAAAGGTATACATCAAGTTTGCTCATTTACATGTAACACACTTTATGCAAATGAGCGATTTAATAATATATTCTCTCTATAATGCGCCTCCCATGAAAGAGTATATGATCGGATAATAACAACTTTTAAAATGTTGAATAAATTAAAGGTGAAGTCAGTGTCCAATTTTTATCACATGCTAATATGTTTGCTTATATAAAAAGAGAATAAATCGATTTTGATATAACAATCAAAAGTTTTACAAAAAGGATATAAAAAACTCAGGTTAGTCCGTGGGTATGTTCTATATAGTTTAAACTCTGTACATCGTAATATTTAGTTACTACATAGGTTAGGTGCGAAAATGAACATGAATGGTACACTCCTTCTGGTATCACCCACATGACATTAACAATTCTCAATAATAATAATTTTTGCATGCGAAATAGATACCCGATTTTTTTCAAGACGTACCAATCCCCATATTTTGACGTATGTTAGAGCAAGTGAAAAACAAAATATATTAATCCACTTTTTCTGGCTCAGCAAAAATTCAAATTTACAAAATTCGCACATCATATATTTGTCCACTCATTCCTATACATCAACCTCAAAAGGACAAAATTTTGATTAAAAATATATACCACCTTAAATTGATATATCAATATTCTTTAAAAAAAAGTCCCAAAGTTACGAGAAAAATAATCACATAAATATCTCATATATATCGAATGAAATACTCGATATTGTCAAATGATTTAACATTTGTATGAAGCACAGCGATCATGGAAAGTGTAGAATAAAAATATATTAAAGGGTATATATCCCCTGAGCGTTTGACCATTTTCGTATACCTTGACGTGCCATACTTATAGGACCTACACATCCCATTTTGAAACATTGTGGAAAATTTTCCAAGAGGAGTGTCCAATAAGTTTCATACTCAGGTAGATCTAGTCTTACTGGAAATCATTGTGCGAAGTCATTGAAACATTTCGCACTTTACTTTTATTCTCCTTCTGAGAAAAAAAAATTGGACAGATGTATCCCATATTCACATTAAAAATGATGCAAGACTATTTTAGTTAAAGAATTTTGAAGAAATCTGTTGACATCATTTGCGTATCCAAATTAGGTGTGAATTATAAATACGTCTCTCAAAAACAGTATACATTAACTGCTGAGGGTATATATTGGTCGTTATACCGACTGAGACTTTTATAACTCGTTTTATGCCAGTTCTTCTGCTATTTTTCTTCTGAAATCGATTCGATTAAAATTTTATATCTTTTAAATTTTTTAAAAATTAAACGAACATGTGGTATTTCAATAATTAAATGAACGTGGATTTATTGAGCAATAAATATAAATACATTTCCAATATTAGCAATCGAATATATGTTTTGGATGCTGATACGTCTGGAGAGAAACATACAAAAAATATGATCCTTATACAGAAATTTCGGCCACTTTCCTTCCTGGATTAAAAATTAATTAAAAATTAAAAAATGAAAAAAAAATTGATTCCCAAATTTTAAATCCTGGTTTAATGCAAATTACTGTCTCCAAAATTAGTGTGTAGATTCATATATCATATATTATTATTATCATATATTATGGTGCTTGCTGTTAGACATAGTGCTTGCGGTTGTAAGACATAGAAGATTCTCCAAAAGAACTTCAGTTAAATTCAATTCTTTGCTTCCTCTTCTATTGAGCTATGATCTCGCCACTCTTTGCTTCCACTTCTATTGAGATACGATCTCGTCACGTTAGTAAAAAGAAAGTTTTTTGTAATAGAACTTATTTTTTAAAATAACTCCTGAGAAGAATATCCCAGACAAAAAACAAGGGAACTGATGAGGACTGGCTCTTTCCGAAACCTAGGTATTCCCTGTTTTAAGACTAGTAAACATTATCATTATCTTTCTCCGCTAATAGACAAACATTGTTTTTATAAAAACAGCAATAATGGAATTTAGTCTATTTTGCAACAACAAAATACTACGGAATTCCGAACAAATATTTTTCTTTTTGTATTTTTTTTTTTTAGTTTTACAACTAAGATTGTTCTGGAAGAAAATACAATTTCGAGGGGATTACTGATATTTACTGGTTCTTCCTTGGAATTGTTTTCCCAAAGGATTTTATAAGTGTGGATGTTTGTAATTAGGAACATAACTAATTAATAAGAAAAATTCATATAGTTTTGCAACTAAGATTTTACTGGAGGACAACACAATTTTTAGAGCGTTCATGATGGCTTCTTTTTCTCCCTCGGATTTATATTCTGAGATGATTTCTGCAAAATGGAAAATAGATTGCGTAATTTCTTTAAATTACTCATTTGTAGAACGCGAATAAGCCAATTTATAAAGTATTGTAAAATTAAATATATTCGTAATTTTTAATTAATTTAATTCATTATAATTGGATTTTAGACCTTACCTATTTCCTAACAAAAATCTTGCTTTGTACAATAAACTGTTAATGTTTACCCCATAAATGGATCGAATTCACTTTCGTTGGAATTTGATCGACCAACAAATCTTAAAATCAATCCAAAATTTGCTAAATTTATGAAATTATAGCAATAATCTAAAGTTTTTGAAAATTGCATGATTTCTCCATTACGATGAGTTGTGTTGTTATGTTTAATAGGATACAGAGAAACTACAATATTTTCTCTAACTGCTAGTGAAACTTTCACCGCGATAGCTACATTCCTTGCTAAGATATATTCATATGAATTTTACTTCATCTCAAAATATAGCTGCTACACGACGCTGTTCGCCTATTACATCAAAGTTGATAGAGGAGAAATCTCAAATTTGTTGATGCGCATGTATGAGGCAACGTTGCCAAATGAATTACCGACTTAAAATTGCAGTTAAAATTTGTATAAAGCATAATTTGCGGCGCTTTAGTAATGAGGGAAGAATTAGCTTTTTAGTAAGAAATAACATTTTATCTTAAATCCCCAAGGTATGCTTCACGACTTCTATTTTCGATTATTGGAAGCGAAAAAATTCTTACCAAAATGCTTTTGTACGCTTGTAAACAATATAATGAGCTGTCACTGGAATAATTTTAACAGATGAGTCGGATGAGTGGCTTAGAAATGACAGCAGTCTGAAGTTGGTTGCAGTTTTTTCATCTCACCCTGTATATAACCAACTACATTCCGGAACCGATTCAAATTATTTTGATGGCTTTAATAAAAACATTCTTATATTATATTTGTTGTCATTTGCGGTTCTTCATAGATTTACTGATTGACGTTTTTTTCTGAGACAAAAAATATTTGTTGCTAATCCCACAACTGCTAAATAGCAGCATTGTTACATATATTTTTGAAGTTTACTTAATAAAATCCATTTTCCAAAACATTAAGCAATAAATGTAAAAATTTTCGATTCTTAATATTGTATTTTTTTATTTATTTTATTATTTTCATCATTTTTTCATATAATCAATTCAATTAAAAGTAAATCATTAAAATTATATTAAGAAGTTCTTGTTGATTTTTGTTTCTTGATTGTTTAAGGGAAAGAGAAAATATAATATATATAATTATAATAGTATTAAACATTGTTTCCTTGTTGTTATTTAATATTTAGACTACACATCCACAACGATTGTGGAAAAATAGCAATTACAATATTTATATATAAAGGTAGGTATGAATATCATTAAATTTCATTTGCATTTATTTTTCGTAATAAATAGGAGAAATTTTTAAAACAAAATTTAAATTGAAACAAAGAGAACCAAAAACTATATTAAAGAACAAAAAAAATGGACTCAAAAATAAAACAAAGAAATTAATTCTTAATTACACTAAACAGGGTTTTGTTAACATTTGTTGTAATGTTTATAAGAAATGAATTGAAAAACTAGAATAATTTTACAAATATTTTGTTGTGTATTTCTTTCACATTCCCATGGGTTTGTCATGAAAGTAAGTCGCCACAATATCAATATCTTAAAATTATTTCTATTGGAAATTAAAACAAAAAAAAAAAAAAATTAAATCAAACAAAATCAAAGGTGTTTTCTAAAATATTATAACTAGGCAAATTAAAAATAATATTTTATTAATTAAAGAAATATAGAAAGATAGGTAATGAGAAAACTTAGCAATTGTTTTGTTTGCTTTGAACAAAGTTTGGGAGGGAGTTTTTCATACATTTTACTAAACTAATACAAAAAAAATATGTAGTTTTTTGTTTTTTTTTTTAATAAAATTGGTAGTGTTGCTTTTCCTTTTGTATTATTGTTTTTCATTTTATTTATTAATCGTAATATATAAAATTTAATGATTTTGACTTTTTGACTACATGATTTTTTGTGTTGAATGATTATACAAATTAAGAGATGCTACAGTATTTAAAAATGTATTTTCAAAATGACCAGGATGCTAATGAGAATTAAGTGTAAAATTTCTCCAAAATTCAGGTTTCTTTTTTTGTTTTGACTTTGGTCATTTTGCAAATACATCTAGACTTTAGCACAATTTAATGACTTGTTTTTTTTTTTTTCTTGTTTTGCAAAAATATGAATATTTTGTTGTCCCTTAATACAATATTGTGTTTTCTTATGAATTTTACTAAAAAGAAATAATAAAAAATTAAAATATATAAACACTTTTCAATAAAATGTTGTGGTTGTTTGATGATGATACTTCACATTTTGAACAGTCCTTCGCAGTTTTTTGTTATACATAAATATATGTATTTTTATATAAATAAAATAAAGATGTTTCATGTTTTGTTGTAGATGTACTATATGTAAGTGTGTTGTGTCTGAGTTGGTTTTTATTTTCTTTGTGTATGAGTAGGAAAAAAGAACTAGAATTCTGGTAACTCTTTTTTCATTTGCTTCTTACAAATTCTAGCCTTTTTTCTTTGCGAAAGAAAAATAACTCAACAACAAAATATTGCTTGTTGTTGTTTTGTTTTTGTTTGGTCTCAATATTCTTTTGTCCTTATGCCATGGTAATTGCAGTAAAACCTTTGCTTTAAACATCTTAACATCTTCTTTCTTGGCTTCTTTAGTTAAATGTAGTAGTAGTAGTAGGTAGGAGTAGTATAAAATATGATGAGGTGTGTGGAGTACAAGTAGTAGTAGTAGAGGGGGGATGCTACAGAATTGCTCTATATCCTGTAATTTTATAATGAAACAACATTTGGATATAATTATTGTTTTTGTATCTATATACATATACACTTAACTAACAAAATAATATATGTATGTTTATGTGTCACATAAGATTTACGTTTAGAGACAACTCTAACCGAAAACAGAAATTATTATTATTTTTTTTTTTTTCAAAAATTTATAAGTATTAATTTTCGATCGAATATATCTAAGAAAAATTTATGTTTGTTTAGTTTTGTTTAACTACATGTTTAAGGGGGGTATATTCATAAGAATCCTTTGTTGACGATTTGGTTATTTAATAATTAAATCGTATCTTAACATTTTTTTAAATAATGAATCATAAAATTTTACAAAGCTTGATTCATTTTTTTCTGAAAAAGGGGAAAATACACACATCAATTTATACACACAGCACAATAACATCATGAATATTTTCACGGATTTTTCAGTACAGAATATTATTTTTAATGGCAAAAGATTTTCAAATTTATTACAATATATATAAACATATAAATATATAAAACGAGAATATATATTTCGGAAAAGTAGGGTCGGACTTCCTTTACTTCTTAATATTTCATTAAGTAAAAGGAATAGTCATAGAAATCAAGTGACAATTTTAAAACGACGAAGACATTGTTTCGTTTCTGATTTTATTTTTTGGCTGATATTTAAACTGCATTAATCATGAGATCTCCAAATAGTTGTTGGCTTAAAATGTTTTACATGCAGTTAATTGGTTAAAGAAAACCTTCAAACTATTCATACCATATTCTATTTTTCATTACTTTGAAATCAATTAAAATATATACTTTTGATTATTCATGTCATTTAAAAATGATCCTTTTTTTGATTAAAAACACTCAACATAATGAAAAGTTTTATGAGACTACTCCTTCTTAGTTTCCATTTTATATACATTTAACAAACATTTTGAATGTAATTGGGTCCAAGAAACTTTTTATCTTCAAGGGTGCTACATTGTGTTCAGTTCGAATATGGGAGCTCTTCTTTTTACAAATTTTTTAAAATTAAAAAATTAAAAAAAATCAAGTAGACTTGCATTAATTTGTGATGAATTTTAACCAAATTTCTGTTAAGTAGAAGCATTAAATCTTCGCTAACTTGATTTTCAGTAGAATTAATTTTTTTCGCCATTTTGAAACGGTCAAGGTCAACTAATTTTTGAATTCAGATTCATTTATGGACTTTTTATTTCACAAGTATTTTTATTATTTCAGATGGTTTGAAAGAAATTGATTTCCAGACTTTAATTTTTTTACTTACGGCAAATAAACAGGAAGAAACCAAAAAAGTTAATTATGATTGAGTTTTCAATATTATAATATAAAAAAATAAAAATAAAATAACCAATATTGTTATTTTTAAAAACTTTTAAATTAAACATACTCTTCCTGTATTTTTCATAACAAATTAAGTTATTAAGCATTTAGAATTGGGTATTACAATTTGGATATGTAAACTTGTGAAAACAACATATAGTTAGCGACATAATTTTACATTTTGAAAGAGAGCCCTTCTTCTCTATATACAGCTTGAATAAGCTATTAATATTGTATGAAATATAGAGAAAGAATGTTAATTGGGAATAGGCAAATATTCAGAAATTAAAAAAAGGTTGTATAAAATGAAAAATTATATCATTCAATTAAAATCAAAAAGCAGGCAGATTTTGCACGAATTGTTGTTATTTACAATTAAAAATGTCCACCGACTTGTTTCATTAATTCAATTTACATAGAATTTTATTGAAATTATTATTATATTTCTCTTCGATTTCATATTAACATGTCTACAGTACGATAAGGTTTTGAATTTAAGATTTTTTAAAATAATTTGTAGAGTTATTATTGCAATTTGATGAAATTCTAATGAGTGACATATTTGATTGAATGTTAAGTCATTCACTTTATTACTAATTACCATCATAGGGTAAATTCGTAAAAAGATTGAGCTATTAGACTTCTTGTGAGTGATTCGAGGGATTGCAAAGACTTCAGAAATAAACTAATGTCAGACAATACCATATATCGTAATGGAACCAAATGAAAAAATTGAGATGATATTAAAATCTATTTCATCTATTTTACATTCCAATTCATGTAACATTGTTTTAAGGGACTACTTTTCAAATTAATTCCACTTCAAAGGTAAAGATGAGAAATTTTGAAAAAGCAAAAATGAATTTAATTTCAATTTTTTTAATTGTTACATATTATATTTTTTATATATTCAATTTTTTTAAGGACTCGAACATTATATTATTATTATAAAACCAAATATGCTGAATTATGTACTGAAATTACGACTTAATGGGTTATAAACGAATTGAAAATTAAATGAAACGTATAAATACATTCCGATTGTATATTCTCATCATAAAAATATCCCTGATTTATTGTGTTTTATTTCTAAAGAAGGGATGAATGTCGTATCTTGAATTGGGAGATGTTTTTTGACTAGGATATCCGGGATATTTTTGTCAATATTTGTGGTCTACATACTTCAAATTCGTTTAGCTTAATTTTTCAACGTCCGACAAAAAGGAAAAAAGAGGAAAGGCACAATTTTGATTCAAATACTTTATTTATATGTTTTCTTCGCAAATAAAAAATTTATTACAAAATTTTGAAAAAAGGTCCAATCTTTATGCGCGATTTTCAATGAACAGAAAATAAAAAAGAAAATGAATTCAGTTGTAGGTTCTTTCATTCTTACAACTTACAATTAAGAAGGGATATTATTTGTATAATAGTAGATAGATAATGTTGAATTAAAAAGTACACTATTTAAAATAAGATATAACTCTAAAGGTAGAAATTAAACTAATTCATGAACTACATAAAATGGCCAAAAATTACATAGCATTAAAATAATGGTGAATTAAAATATATAAGAAATTTAAAAATAAAAGCGAAAAAAAAGGAAATAAGCATATTAAGAAAGAAAAAAAATGACATTAGAAAAATCAAGTTTGAGCACAAAAGCATTTATACAAGTTTTATATATTTTGCAAAGGTTATTTTTTTTTCTAATTTGTGCAATTTGAGCAAAACTTTGAATTCTTACAAAATTTCAATTATGAAATTCAAAAATCAAAGAAAACAGTTGATATTGAATTTTTTTCTACAATGCAAAAAGCCATTTTTATAATTACAAAAAAAAAAGCAAATCATGGTAGGAAGTACAATGGGTAGAAGCTAAAGGGATTTGGAAAAATAGAATTAGTCTAAAAAATTAATTACAAAATAAAAATTTGTAACAATTTAAATTAAATGATATTAATTTGTTTAAAGTACTATGAAAAAAGAAAGAGCTCCCCCATGGTCATTAATGGTCTTCATTCAAAAGCATACATATAGCTGGTCGTTGATCCTGCGCGTTTCATCTCTTTCTTCTGTTTCTCAATCCTGCTTGGGATTGCTTGGCTGTGTGTAATAGTCTTCAGTGTGAGGTTGTTTTTATTAAAATTTTGTAAAATTTTCCCATTTTAACAATTTTTGCCTTTGGGATGAATATTAAAGCATGTTATTCTTTCCTTTTGTTAAATGATGAAATTGATTGATTATTTTCTTTTAAGTAAAATGTTATGAATTGATGCTTTGTTTGTGTTATATTTTTTTCCAAAATAAAATTGGACGCTATTAATTAATAATAACCAAATCGTGCCAATTCTCATCTTGATAAGCTGTGAGAACGTTCGCGGCTGCTGCTACCTGATGAGGCGGGTTGCATGTTTTTAACGGCGGCTTCACCCAAACGTTGATGTGGTGGGAGTTTATCAAAGAATGGATGACGTAAAGCTTCTCCTGTTGTTGTAGTAGTAATGTGGGGAAATATAAAAAGAATACAAATAATTAGTTTGAAAAATATAAAATTGTAATGAATTTTATTTCCAGTGATTCATACCTTGCTGTGGTTTAACAATAATATGAATTTATGATTTCAATTTCAATATCACTAGAATCTATCCCAATGCTATCAGAATTCAAATAATTAGCTGCACTTTTCCCTATTTTGAATTTAAAAATCGGAAACAAATTTCCCTGCAGAGCTGACTTTGATTTAATAAGAATCAGAATGTGAATAACCGTATCACATAGTATGAATCCCCAAAGCTGTTATCGATGCTATGTGAGATTTGGTCTTGGTCTATGTTTAGGAATCAAAAATCCAGCAACATAAAGGCTTCGTTTTGAACAAGTTAAATAAGTTTCCAAAATGTTGAAGCATTGTGAGGAAGGAAATACGAAACTATACATCTCTAAACTCGGCGCAATAGTGGGCTCTAGTCTGAAGTAAATGGACTATCCTAAAATGGACTTCATGCAAATTTACTGACTGCTGATTTAAAATGGTCATTTAATTGTTAAATCCTCCGAGCGTGCAGTGATGAACATTTTTATAGGAATAATAATTTGGAGACTAATTAACCGACATCAAGCCAAGGTCAAATAGTCAACAGTTAAGTTAAACCAGTTAGGTTAGGTGGATGCGCTGTTGTATAAACAACCACTCCACTCGGAGACCTTTTGGTCCATTGTGTTCATCCTAATTTAAGAAGATAGGAGAGTAAAATAGAGAGCAGAGAAGGAAATGATTAGCGGATAGTAAAGAAGTGAGAATCTGAATTACGAGAAGAGAAGTTAGTAGGTTTGCATCTACGGAGTATCAACGTGTCGTTCTTAGGCATTTTAGTCCTCTGGCTAACTGAAGAATGACTACTGGCTAGATGTCGAAGTGGGAGGACAAGTCTGGCAGAATTTGCTTACCCAGTATCCTCTGTCTCACTCCTATAAGAGTTGGGCAGTGGCAGAGTAAGTGCTCCACCTTCTCCCTCGTCCTGAAAAAGCCTGAAGTATTCAGTGTCATCACCCCCCCCTCCCCCATTTGGATGTCATGGCCTTTATGTTGCAAAGTCCTGTAATTAGGCCCACCACAAGCTTCAAGTCGAGCATCGTCATGGATATGAGTGACCTTGATCTCCTTTCGGAGTTCACCGGCCAAATCTTTTTGGAGACATTACATCCCCTTCCAGTTAGCCAGATAATCTTATGCAGTACTTGGAAGAAGTGACATAAGGGTGGCTTCACTGAGCTCTCAATATCTAGACCTACTGACTCAGATCCGCGTCTGGCCAATTCATTGCCAGATATGTTGCAGTGCCCAGGAACCCAACAGAGTTTGACAAACGATTTAACCTTTTCCAGAGCATTCCAGAACTGCCATAGATTTGATTGTAAATGAATTTAGAGCCTTCAGTTAAATAGAAAAGAACATTTGTAAGAATGCGACGATTGGATATTAAAGATTGTAAATTATCATACAAAACCATTGATAAATATTGATATGCCTACTGTATGGATTTAATTCCAATAATCCGAGGATGTGATATAATTCAAAGTCAAATGACTTCCATGAATTCATAAACCCCTTACTATTGTTTAAGTGCTTCAATTTAATACATACAAAGGCCAAACCTTCTTTCCAATAGAACTACAAAAAAGGGACATATCACATGAAGACTTACGTTTTAGCAGATCTTACCTTTGACGAGGAAAATAGGAAAGAAAGTTTTGGCATAGAGAGACAATAAAAAACGAAACATTAAAATACAGATTGGACAGAAAATAGCATTTGAAAGGACTAACTAAACTCATTTCAGCAATAAAATTTTTTGGTAAAAAATTTTGCCTGACAAATTTGTTTGTTATTACAGAAAAACTTCGCAAATGGAATAAAGAATGTTGAATCAAAACAATACAAGGAGACAATATCTTAAAGTCCGTTTAATAATCTAATCTAATTTAAACTCCCACAAGGTATTAATCACTTGAAACATTTAACTTTTAATTTCACAACATTAAACACAGACGACTAACGCACTCACCTAACGTAATACGTTGTGATGGCTCATATTCCAACATTTTCTTAATTAAATCGAATAATTCACAATGATCCTCAGCGTCGGACATTTGATATCTGAACAATGGCTTACAATGGTCGCGCACATAACGTCCAGCCGACGACTTCTCATCCCAATCCAACTTACCATGATAGAAGTACTTTGTTTTGGTTTTGCTGTAAAGAACATGATTGCTATAGGTTAATCGAACAACATGAAGTAAACCTGCGTTGCGTAATATGTAAGCATGTTAAATTTATACATTACCGTGCCATACGATATGGTATTTGTCCTAGGATACGTTCCATCATGGCTAAGTGTTCACGATTGTCATGGGTCTGGAATAGTGTTATGCCCAGATATAATTCAAAGAGAATGCAGCTGTATTGAAATAGAAAGAGAATAATTAGTAAAATATTAAAAAAAAGAGTTCATTAATTTCACTTACCCAATGGACCACACATCACAGGGTTGTGACCAACCTAATTCGAGTATAACTTCGGGCGCACGATAATGGCGCGTTGAGACAATAGTACTATGATGTTCATGATCGAATGTGGCTGAACCAAAATCGATGAGACGAACATCGGTATTTTTAACACGTCTCACTTCACGATTCTGCAAAGATGGAAAAGAGAGTTAATATTTAAATAACAAAAATCTTGCCAAAAAGGTTTGTTCGTTCAAACCTTGAATATACTAAAAATCCAATACTTACGATCTTATGATTATAATGTGTTGTATATTCCGAATCAACGAATAGTATATTTTCAGGTTTTAAATCTGTGTGCGTTAAACGAGTGTCATGTAAAAATTTCACAGAATAGCACAATTGATAGGCCATATGTCGAACTTGCTCCAATGGATATGGTTCATAGTTGTTCTCACGCTGTTTAAAAGAAATAGATATGAGCAGTAAAGAATACATTAGAAATGTCAATATTAAAGAAAATATAATGATTAATGATTATGGTAATTGAAATATCTGAAGATGTGTAATATAAGAAGGTAAAACAAGACTAGGGTTGTCCCAAAAACTTACCAAGAAATCGAAAACACTCAAACCTAACATTTCAAAGGCAATGCACATGTGTCCGTGATAATCGAACCAATCAATCATTTTAACGCACAAACTGAAAAATAGTAAAGGAAAGGAGATTAAAACAAGCCCATGTAAAAAATTAAAAATTTGTTAAAATGTATATATTTATAAGGTTATAAAAAAATATTGCTATAAAAATGTTTATATATTTAAAGTCCCGTAACAGAATTTATCATAAACTTCATAATGGTTATATTTGAACTAATTTTTTACACAGTATAACATCGTTTTAATACCGATTTCGTGCTATTACACAAGCGACACAGTCGGGGAATTAAGAACTCCTTGGAAACCTATATTGTACATATTCAATGATTAAAAATTAATATCGAGTTTAGGCAGATATGAAACAGTTGCTACAAACAAGATGGTGACTGTGGTGATCGGAGGGCAATACTTTGATTTTCAAAATGGAACTCGTTTGAATATTGAATGCTTATACTTATATACCTCAGGGTATTAAAAATTCCGTTCGGCCGAACTTAACATTTTCATACTTGTTTTATAAGAAATGAGGACATTATAGCTAAGTCGGAATGAATATTGTTTTACATTATATGAAGAATATGTGAAAGCCTGTACCGAAAGTGCAACTTTGGGTTCAAAATGCCAAAATCAAAGCCAATCCGGATGGACCATATCACAAGGCCAATCAAAAAATAGCTGAATATACAGAGTGAGATGAAAAAACTGCAACCAACTTCAGACTACTGTAATTTCTAAGCCACTCGTCCGACAGCTGTTAAAATTATTCCAGTGACAGCTCATTATATTGTTTACAAGTGTGCAAAAGCACTTTTGTGAGAGTTCTCCAAAAAAAAAAAGTTATTCGTGATGGAATTCAAGCGTGATAGTGTGATTTCTTTATATTTGACTGAAAAACAACAAGTGGCTAAAGTTAGAGCACTCCAGCATTTAAATGTGAATAAATATTTTGTGTCTCGTACCATCGCTCGTTGCCGTGATACTGGTAGCGTAGCCCGACGACAAGGAAGTGGACGGAAGAAAACAGCAACATCAGCAGTTTGTAAACAAACAAAATGATCGTATTTACTTGTTAAAGAGGTCAGCTGAAAATGGCACCTTCGGTTGGCCACCAGAACTCAAGCGTCGGCCATGGTAATGGTGTGGACCGCCATAACAGCTGATGGTCGCTCTCCGCTCGTATTAATCGACCGTGGCATCAGAATAAATGCCGAATATTATCGTGAAAATATTCTGGAGCGTATATTAAATCCTTGGGCACGCAAACATTTTGGCTGCAGACCTTGGACATTCCAACAGGACTTAGCACCATCGCACTCATCACGCGCCAGCCAAGAATGGTTACAAAATGAGGTTCCTCGCTTCATTTCTAGCGCACAATGGCCACCAAAATCTCCGCATACGAAACCGTTGGATTATTGTGTCTGAAGTATTTTTGAAAGCAAGGTTGGCACTAAAAAATGCCAAAGTGTCAAGCAAGCGCTTCTTCGGGAATGGGCCAAAATTCCGCAGAGCAACATTCTGGCAGAGTGTGCTGGTTTCTTTGGCCGTCTAAAGGCCATAACTCGTGACATAGGTGACCGATTCGAACAAATCTAAATTCATTCTAAAATTTTACATTTTATTTCCGACATTTTATGCTTTCATTCAATACAATTTAAAATAAAATGTACAAATTATGGCGTTTGACTTTTTTGCAGCTTTTTATCTCACCCGTATATCCACAATCCATATCCATGGAAAAAGATTGAAAAATTCCTAAAAATTTTAATTAAAAGTAGCGAAACAAGATAGAGAGAAAAAACTTCATCTTCCACTTTGTTGAAGGCATATATTAGAATAAAGGATAAATTGATTGAGATGTTTATTGCCACCGTGGAGAAATAGGTATGGAAAGATGTGGGCAATCTCATATATATATACACTGCTTTATAGTGGTTTTGGTATAAAGTTTGACATTAAACTTAATAATTTTTTTTTTTTTTAATTTAACAGAACTTTTGAAAATTATGTTGACAAAGGGTTCCCTATCGCCTCTTACCCGGTTCGAAGATCAAAATTGTCTTCCTAACGTGATCATGGATCTACTTGATATAATCTTGTAAAACGTGTTTATAATTAATTAATTTATCTATCTTTGTACAGACGAGTCTAGTCCCAAGCGTTCAATTTTTTATTTTCCAAAAAATTAAATTTCTTTTCGCCAAACTATCTACTTATGTGGATAAGCACAAAGTACTAATACTCTAGATTAATTTTTAACACTAATTTGTATTTTAATATTTATTTATACTTACTGTTCACAATTTGGATCCTTTTGTGCAATTTTCTCTAAGGCATTGATTTCCAATTTAGCCGCTTCACGGTATTTTTCTACATTTTTAATGATCTTCAAGGCCATGCAATAGTCCCTGTTAAAAAAAAAAAATAAATAAAAATATTAAGATATTTAATTTCGCAAAAACTCAAAAATGTTAGAATACCTTTCCATATCCTTGACTTTGACAACACGACCGAATGTGCCTTCACCCAGTGTTGCCATAATTTTATCTGAAAATTTATATAGAAAATACACATATTGAAATTACACAAATTCAATAAAACACCTTAATCAATTATTAACATAATGTTATATGTTCTTTTTTATAACTATTAATTGAAAATAATAATATTAATAAATAAACCTGATAAAGGAGCCTGGTCTCACAACATGTATGTATGTGTTCATCGATTTAATTGTGGACAAGTAAAACTACTTGGAATGAAGAAAAAATAAAGTTTTTTGGGGGGGTAGGAGAATAGGCAAAATATAATAATTTGCAAAATTGAAATTGAATAGAAAACTAAAAAATGGAGGGGGAAGCTAAATAAAAAAAACTTATTCAAAAAGTAATTTTGGAATAGATTAAAAGGGGAACTAAGCGCGTTTTTATGAAAATTGAGGCTAAAAATTTCAGTTAAAGAAAAACAAATAAGGGGACATATTTAAAAAAAAAAAAAAATGTTGAAAGGAAACTAATAGGGACGTAAAATTAAGTATTTTGAAAACATTTTAAGAGTAAATAGGTTAGAAATACCAGGGCGGGCCACAGATGTCGTTTTGCCTTAGATTCGTAATGAAATTGAACGTGATTTTCTTTATGTAGGCAATAATTTGGGTATTGAAGGGAATATTGCCTTCATAAAGATGTGTGGACGACACCTAAAGTTTGTGTCTACCATGGCATTCTATCCTTTTAATTACGCTGGGAAAGCGGTAAAAAAGCCCATTAAAATTAAAAAAAAGAATTAATAAACGCGCTTTGAACTAAGGGACAAACTAATAACTAAAGAAACTTTAAACAAAAATAGAAAAATATATGTATTTAAATAGATTTCAAATTAAGTAAATTATTTATAAATCATTGAAAAAGCTGAAAAATAGTTGAGAAATAAATTTTCTATTTTTGTTTAGATTTTCTTCGGATGAGATTTTTTGGCCTGGCCCTATATGCGGTCCGGGAGGGAGAGACAGATTTGGGGTTATTAGAAAAAAGAAGAACAGAACCTAACTAGGTTGTGAATTCTCATTTTCAATATGGTTGGTATTCATTGCCTAAACATATAGACACACACAGAAATATAGTAAAAAATGGAAAAATAGTAAATAGATAGGAATAAAAAGAAATAAAAACAAAAAATTGTCACGAACATCTGTGATGAAGTATATCGCCAGAACGATAAATCAAGTGGCCATCACTGTCATCTTGTATGACGGGCTTTGCTGTCTGTGATTTTTGGATTTTTGAGAGAGGGCGATAGAGACAAGATCAAGACAAGCGCATTGTGTGGTGTATTCAATAGCCGGCGGAGTAGAAACGTTGGTGGTGTTTTTGCAGCAGCATCAGCAGCAACGGCGACAGGAGCAGGATCAGCAGCGTGGAGTTGAGGGTACAGAGACGTTGTGGAGTTTTGAGATTTGGAGCGAGATTTCATTGGTTGGTTGATATGGGTGGATTGATTGGTTGGTTGAAAATTGTATGTTTATTGTTTTTGGTGGTACGGTTTTGGTCATCAACATCACAACAAAACATATAAGAAAGAGAGAAAAAAAAAAAAGAAAAAGAAAAAAACAGAGAAAAAAAGAAAAACGTGTTTGGATTTTTGAAGAGAACCGTAAAAGGACCGGGACATCATTGAGAATCAGCAGGGCATTTCACCAAGTTGTAGTCATCATTATCCACGGAATAGCCATGCAAAGCCACAAGGAAGTAGAAGAAGAAATTGCCATCAGGAATCCCACGTTGACACCACATATTGATTTTATTTTGAAGTCAAACAAGTCAAATTCACACAATTTCCCCAATAAAAGCAAAGCCATTTTCATCGTCATCATCATCATCATCATCACGAATTTCATAGTCATCATCATCATCAACATCATTGTGATAATCATCATCATCATTTACATATATAATCGAGAAAAACACGAAAAAAATACGTTCGTTTTTTCGATAAGAAAATTGGTTCGGACAAATTGTTGTTTTTGCATTTGTTATTACAAAAACTTTCAAATTTGTTTTATTGTTTTTTTTTTTTTTTAACTAATAGTATTGTTATAACAGAAAAAAAAAACATTGTTCAAAACAAAACTAACGAAAAAAGAGTCATACATTTACAGATACAAATACAATAAAGGCCATAGTGTTAATATATAAATAATTTATTTTATATTAATTTGTTAGTAAATATTTTTTAAGAAATTATTATAGTTTTTTTTTTTTTTGTAAATAAGGAAAAAAAAGTGAATTTTGTTAAAAATAATTAAATTTCTGTTATATTAAAAACAAAACAAATTAAAATGCATAATTTTTGGTTTAAATGGCAAACATAAAGCTGTTTTATAAATAAACTTAGTTTAAAGGTTTTGATATGGAGTATAAAATATAAATTAATAATAATTAAATATATCGGAAGTGAAACTAAAATAATCATTAATTTATGCATATATATAAAATGTATATTCTTAAAAAGTATGAGTTTTTTAAGTTCAAAATTTGTATCATAAGGGTATATGGTATATAATAAATATATTGTACTCTTATATTGAACTACTACCTTATACCTTAAATAATAGTCGATTTATGCATGTAAATAAAACAAATATATATACTTCAGAACGTAAAGTAAAAAATTAAATTTGAAAAAAAAAACATAAAAATATTAATTAAAATATTAAAATATTAATTTAATTAATATTACAATTCTAAAAAAAGTTTTGGCAATTATATATATTTTGCTATTAAATATTTTTTTCAATCAATATATGCCACTTATATGTAAAGATTCTCCTCTCAGTATTAATGTAATTTCGAACTTTAAATTTTTAAAAATTAATAACAACTGAGAAGATGGGAATAGATGAATTTGTTTAAATAATATAATTTTATGTCAACGCAATTAAAGTTCCTATAACCAAGTAATAAGTTCTAAACATTTGCTGGAAACATTGACTGCTTACTATATATCTTACGATCTCATGACATGTTATTGAACACACAATACAGGGTGAAATGAAAAAACTGTAACCAGAATCATACTGCTGTCATTTCTAAGCCACTCATCCGACACCTGTTAAAATTATTCCAGTGACAGCTCATTATATTGTGGCTCGTGGGCTGAATATATCGCAATATTCCACTCGACAAATGTTGAAAAATGAGTGCAACTTCAGTTGGCCACCAGAACTCAAGCGCCGGCTATGGTGATGGTTTGGGCCACCATTACAGCCGATGGTCGCCCTCCGCTCGTGTTAATCGACCGTGGCATCAGAATAAATGCCGAATATTATCGCGAAAATGTTCTGGAGGGTGTATTAAAGCCTTGGGCACGTAAACATTTTGGCCGCAGACCTTGGACATTCCAACAAGATTCAGCACCATCTCACTCATTACGAGCCACCCAAAAATGGTTACAAAATGAGGTTCCTCGCTTCATTTCCAGCCCATAATGGTCACTAAAATCTCCCGATACCAATCCGTTGGACTATTGTGTCTGGAGTATTTTGGAAAGCAAGGTTGGCACTAAAAAATACCTAAGTGTCGATCACCTCAGGCAAGCTCTTTGCCGGGAATGGGCCAAAATACCGCAGAGCAACATTCGGGCAGCGTGTGACAGTTTCATTGGTCATTCGAAGGCCATAATTCGTGCCAAAGGTGACAAATTCGAACAAATCTAAACTTATTTCAAAATTTGATGCTATTTCCGACATTTTTCTGCTTTCATTCAATAAATTTGAAAAAAAAAAGTAAAAGTTATGGCGTTTGGTTCTGTTGCAGTTTTGTTATCTCACCCTGTATAATGTCAGTTGTGTTACCTTAATTCCAGTTTGGAACAGTGGGACATATTGGCTACAAGTAACATTATTTGAACTTATGAAACGTTTTAATTACAATTAAAAAAAAAAAAACTACCGAGATTTAGATTTTTTGAGAAAATCAAAATTCATTTTAAATATACGATACTCTATAAAAATCCACTGCAAATTCAAATTTGCAAATTTTTGTGATATTGGACATAAGAGAACTTAGTACAAAAATATCTTAAAAGAAATATTGGTACAACACTGATTTTAAAATTCAATTTTATCTGATCAGATTACAATACTCTTTAAAAATACACTGTAAAATTAGAGAAATATTGGGATACCGAACATAAAAGACCTGAATATCAAATTTTATATCGGACACTGCACTTCAATATCCATTTATAAAAATCATTTACTTGTATTTTACATATAGAGGCAATTATGGCCCACTATTACCCAACAATAACCCATTTGTTGGGTAATAGTAGGCAATAATTGCCTATACATGCAACATAGAATTAAATGATTTTTATAAGTGGCATATTTTAAATGTATAAAATCTATTATTTTTAAACCCAGCCGAGAATAAAATAATTTGAATTCTTTAGACAATTGTAATTCACTTTGAATATAGGAAACTGTCAAAAAATTCACTGCAATTTATAGAATTATTGTGATGTCGGACAAATGAAAACATAATTCAGAATTCCAAATAAATATATTCGCTTATAAAATCAATTCGAATGGGCAGAAATTTTATTTTATTAATATAGTCAAAAAACAGCCCCAATTGAATGTTTTCAGTTGAATTTTTTTTCTAACCGCGATATCGTTTCCATAAATGTATATATTTTTTATTGTTCATAAATTCAAAACTTTGAAAAATCTCCACTTATATCAAATCACTTAAAATTATAAAATAAAAAAATGTTTGACTAAAACATTCTTGCATTATTTTTACGGAGTCTTATTTAAATTATTAGGACTTTTTTCAATTATTTTAGATCATATCATTAAGGAAAACTCATGCACAAATTTTCAAAAAAAAATTAAGCAAAAATAATACAAACTGTCATAAAAACAATAATTATTTGCGAATGCATTGAATTTATAACCACAAACACACGCAAATGTAGCACAAATGTATTAAAATCAACAAATATTACAAAAAATATCCACAAAATAATTTGCACTGGTGATACAACTGATGATATTGACGCTGCGATATTGAATTTATTAATAAAGAAAATGTGTAAGAGAGTAAGTGGTAAGGCAAGTTGCTAGTGAATGAAGTAAGTAGATAGGAAATCGCGAAAATAGACATAATTTTGATTCCTAGGTTATGGAGAGAGGAGGAGATAGCAATGTAATGATCTCAATGTCTCGTCCGATATTTTGTTCTCTCCCACATACCCCAGATGGGACCCAAGAACCTCCCGAGATGATCACATCACTGTCACTGTCTTTTGTGTGTAAAAGTCAAGTCATTACAACAAATAGTAATGATTAATGGAAGCATAATGCAATTTTTTAGTTGTTGTTGTTATTATTACTGTCATTTGCAATGAAAAAGTTGAAAATTAAAAAAAAGTAGCCATAGTATTCAGAAAAAAGAAGTACGTTCCGTCTTGCTGCATGCAAAGAAAGAAGCCTTATGGTGGTATGTTTTCTCTGCGCGAGAACGTTGGAGCGCATAAAAGACAGAACGCATGAAAATTGGAAAAACATTTCAATTAAATAGAATAGTGATCTTACAAAAGACGAATAGGTTTTTGGAATGCGTGACCTATGAAAGAGAGAGGAGGCGGTGGCACTTTTCGTTAACATATTCTGTTGATAGTGCTGCTGTTGTTGCTGTTGCAATTGCTGATAGGCGGCAAGTTGTTGTCGCTGATACGACGAACTGGCGGTCGATGATGATGCCAGGCCAGCACCCGTTCGCCGGCTACCACTGCTGCTGGTGTAGGCCGATGTATAGGGATCATAATGATTCGAGGGTTTATAGGTTATTTCACCCAGAGCATAACGTTCCCTGGTGGTACCTGGATAACGAGAGGAGGTCGTACTGCCAAGGGAGGAATTTTCAAATTCACTGAGAACGGCAGCGGTACGTGATGTGGCGCCCGAATAGGGTTTTTGGGTACGTGTGCTAGCGGACGCCCCTGTTGCCCCCAAACGTTCACTAATGCCACCAAAGGCCAATGCTCCCGAACTGGATGAGTGCATGAGGCCAGCGGTGCTGGAGTTGTTAGTGGGTATGGGTTGTGGCCTGTACTTGGAGAGGTCATTGTTATTTTTGTCAGCTGTGGTGTTGTGTTGATTGGTGCCATTGGCATCGGTTTGATCTTTGGATTTTGTGGTGGTGTCGACAAGGGCAGAGGGTTTTGTGGTGGTGGTGGAGGTGGTGCTAGTTGTTGTGGT